AATATTCCGCACGGAGAGTGCATCTGTGTATTCTTGTGCATCGCATCTCGCCACCGTGGAGCGCGGCGCACGAGGGAGCATACGCAGAGGTAATCATTGCGACACCAACTGCAAAGGTCCCCCGTATAGGCGTCACAAACTTGGGGCTAGTGCTCTGTTAGCTAGTAGCAGCACCACCTTTGAAGGCCGGCACGGCGCACAAGGGGGCGAGTGGCCAGCACCACACCCGGACGCCTTTGTCTCCCCAGTGACGATGGTTACACACAACACCAGGTGCTCATTTAAGGCAGAGCCGAAATAGGGGCGACCCAGGACCGGGTTCAGATAAACGTAACTGGTGTTGGCCTTTGTGTGTTCAAATATTTCCGCATGTCTGGATCAGTACAAAATTCATTCCGCTCAGCTCGCCCGCTCTCCCGAACGTCTTCTCACAATCTCAACATGCAAATGCCTTTCTTTGTAATGCGCAGCGTCTTGAGATGACGTTACGTTGAGAAGTTTGATGAAGTAACATCCTGTTAAAATGTAACATAGACTGTATGTGTTGTGTGACATTGTGTGGGTATAAGAAGGTCGTGGGTTTGAGCCCGACCCTGACTCCTGTATATTTGGAGGTTGCGTGTATCTCTCCCCATGGTCGCGTGGATTTTTCTCCGCGCCCTCTAGTTTTTACCCTCCACATTTAGAATCAACGTGCTGTTCGAGTGTTTGGCTGCTCTACATTTCCACGTAATAAGCCACTGAGTTGGCCTGCCATTTGTGATAGCCAGGTCGCTTCTGAAAAAAAGAGCTATATAGCTCAGCGGGCCTTACCTGGTAAAATAAAAATTGTATAGATGTGAATAGTTTAAATATGGCTTGAGCCTGGCATTGAACATGTAGCAGGGGAGTCAACAGCATGGGTGACCAGGGGAAGCGAGTTCCAGACTATGGGGTGGTGTTGCAGCAGCAGAGCAGAATGATCGATCCTCACCAATGAGCGACGGTTAATTTGGTGGCTTGGACAGAAAATGCCTGGGGCGGAGGAGTTGGTGGAGCGAGGCGAGACAAGAGCGGAGCGTGGGCGTGCGAGTTGACACTCATTATCTCGTTAATTCCCGACGATAATGAACAATTCTTCGCAAGCGGCTCGGCGTACGTGCCCCGTTTTAATCGTTGCGCATCTGCCTGAGCTAGCCACGTGTAAAATAAAGAAATACCCACCCCCCCACGTGGTAGAAATATATAGATATATAAATGTCGGCGCACCTTCTCGCCGCAGCGCGGACCGAGCGAGCGCTGCATTGGCACAGTTCTCGCGCAGGGCTCGGGTAGCACGGCTAAAACAACAACAACAAACAACAACAAACAACAACAACAACATATCGGCGCTGCTCCGGTGCGTAAATCGCACGCTCGCTGCCAACGCCGCCAATTACGAGCGCGGCCACGGCCACGGGGTGCACGGCGACTTTACAGCTCTCCTCCTCCACGCACTTATTCTGCTGCTTCCGAGCGAGTGCTGTGTCCAATACGGCTTTGGTGTCCCAGTGACATGCATTGCCCCTTGATGGCCTAGATCAGTGTTCATCTTCTTTGGTTCTTTCGGTAAAGTCACGTAGAATGAGAATAAAATAATACAATAAAATTCTCACGACGTTTCGGCCACAACACAAGTGGCCTTCTTCAGGTGAAATGAACAACCTGTCGGGACGACAGAGCTACATTGTTCCTTTCACCTGAAGAAGGCCACTTGCGTTGTGGCCGAAACTTCGTGAGAATTTTATTGTTTTTATATTATTATTTTATTCTCATTCTACTTGACTTTACCGAAAGAACCAAAGAAGATGAATCCTTGCAGTCACGAAAGCTTTAAATCGAAAAATAGTTCAGTGTTCTTCAATCATTTTCAGAGGGGCAGAGGGGGGTGGGGGCACTTTCGCCGATGCGACATGACCGGTGCGAGGGCCGCCACTCGTTTGAAACCATTGGGGGTTTGATGGGGTGGTGAGGGTGTCCACTCGTTGTGTGTTGTCAGGGACCGCACTAAAGGCCACCAGGGGCCGCCAGTCACCCGCGGGCCTTGCAATGGAGAACCCTGCTCGAGATGTGTCGCCTTGATCGTCAGCCACGAGCTATTTTTGATCTGTCTCATGTGATGGTCTAACTCATGTGCCGTGAAGAATGGCCATTGCTTATTAACATCACCGATTATGCATTTCTTTGGCTCTTTTAAGGCCACTGTGTTGTTGACGAGTGTGTTGAGTTTGTTGTTGTTCGCTGTGCTTCTGCACTCCTGCCAACGCAGCAGCAATGACCAAGCCATCGCCACCTCTCTGGGTGATTCAACGCAACAGCCTAGACTCTGCACACAAGCTGATGTCATTGCTCCATCGCCGCTGCAGTGGATGTCCTTCCGCAATGTTCTTTAAATTGGCTTCCGTTCGGTCCGTCAGTCTCAGTGAATTCCCATTCATCAATTCTGCTTCAGTGTATCGATTCAAACAGATTACTATGCTCACGAAACGTCGAACCGCGCAAGCAGGAATTGATGATCAACAATCTGTGTTGAAACCAACGACCAAAGTTCGATTCCCTTCCACAGCTCAAATCAGCAGCAAGTGCCATCTGAACCGGCCCTGGCCACCCCCCCCTCCTTCACCAGCCCGCACTGACCAGCGTGGTGAAGTATGGTCGAACAACCCCCATGGCCGGTATGGCGTGTGGAGGGCCTTCTTTCACCAGTGGATCAAAAAAATGGGATGTAAATTATAATTTCAGAAATATTTTAAAGGACATTTGAAACCTATTTCAGCCTCTTCCTTTGAGAATCGGATCAGTGCCCATTGAGATGTGTTGTCCCTCATGGAAGTGGGGCTCTAAGTAACTTTTATTCATCATCATCATCACGGTCCATGCGCAGAAAACCCATAGGTGTCCACTGCACATTTCGGCATTTGTTTTCCACTGTCCTCTGTCTTGTGCCAATGTGCTCATGTAGTGGCCACAGCTTTCTGGCTCCAATCTCTGTCGTCGTCGTTGTCAAGCCATTCTCGTCGAGGTCTTCCTCGCTGTCCGGTTCCTTCCACGTTTCCAAAACAACAACAAATTTTGATTTAAAGCTTTCGTGACTGCAGTAATTCATACTCTTAGTTCTTTCGGTAAAGTCACGTTGAAGGGAAACAATAAAATAATAAAAAATATATATAAAACAATAAAAAAAATTCTCACGACGTTTCGACCATAACACAAACCGACACACCTGATGACGACCGTTTGTGTTATGGTCGAAACGTCGTGAGAATTTTTTTTATTGTTATATATATTTTATTATTTTATTGTTTCCCTTCAACGTGACTTTACCGAAAGAACTAAGAGTAACAACAACAACAACACTTTACATTTTTCTGTTGTTGTCCATCATATGTATTGTGTCCAATTAAGACCAGTTTCTTGCTCATCACTGCCTGCATCATCAGGTCTTCTTCTGTGTGCAACCTTTTTCTTTCTTTAATTAGGGCCAGTGAATTCCTACTGTGGTGTTAGGCAGCTCAATTTCCCGATTGCATGCTTTTTTTTTACTTCGCCACACAATTCTACGACCGTCAAACGCCTCGTTTGTGAGCTGACCAATATTCCTTAAGGACCCTGCAATTGTTCTCTGCAATAGTGAAGTCGTTGTCTTTGTTTTTGCTGCTGTTGTCACAACACCACGGCTCTCAAGTCTAATGTAGCCAGGCAACTGGTGAAAGGGGATCATCATCCGTGCAGGAAATCAAAATAAACTCAATGTCTATTTTTAGTATTTGCTCTTGTCTGTTCCAGTGTTTGTCGTTTCACGAATGACAACGCTGGCATCCTCTCTTGTTGATTCCTAGAGATGCGAATTTGTTGGCTCGGAACCAGGGCCTGAATTCTGTTGGCTTGGAATGAGGGCCTGAATTCTGTTGGCTTGGAATGAGGGCCTGAATTCTCTTGATCTGTATCCAATACAAGATCTTACTCTTGATCTGTATCCCAATACAAGATCTTACTCTTGATCCATATCCCAATACGAGATCTTACTCTTGATCCGTATCCCAATACAAGATCTTACTCTTGATCCATATCCCAATAAGAGATCTTACTCTTGATCCGTATCCAAATACAAGATCTTACTCTTGATCCATATCCCCATATAAATGGCCACAATACTCAATCCATCTCTGTTTTTGTCTCTTTTAAGTCCATCTACATCTTATCGTCCTTGCCTTGTATCGCCGTTGGCCTTGTGTGTTACCACTTCCTATTTGTGCCCTTGCCCAGTTCGTACACGTGCCAGCTCTTGCATCCTCCAGCGCAGTGTTCAACGTCTGCTACATTGCTTCTCCAGCCACGTCTGCCAATCCTTTCTTGCCGATGTCCTCGCCTCATTGTACAGCTGCTTTGACTTCGTCGCCGTCTCGTCCGATACCTTTCTCTATAGCCATAATTTGTCTCTTTTTCTGTGCAAGTCCCAAGGTTTTCTCAGCTACCCGTTCTCTTTCTGTGCCCACTCTGCGTTAAACCCCCCCCCCCCAAATTGACGGCGGCGTCACCCCTTGACCGTGCGAAAAAAATGAGCAGTGGCGACTGCGAGCACCCCGTCCAGCTGGCATGCAAACGAGCAGCCAGTTCCGCCGCCAGACCCTACGCAAACACAGGTGCACAACAACAACAACAATAGCAGCAGCAGCAGCCGCCATTCGCCACACAAGTGGGGGGGGGGGGAGGGAAGGGGGGGCGGAGGAAAAATCTGGGCCAAAGCGGAACGCTTCTGGGGCGTTTGGTGCCGAGCGTTGCGATCGACGGCAGCCGCCGTGAACCCACGAGCGGCGTGCCATGCCGGGCGGCACGGACGGCCGCCGTGAACCCACGAGCAGGCGAGAGCGGTTTTGGTCCCCGCTGCTCTCCCCCCGGGTTGGCGCTTATCCCGCGGGCGACTGGACGCCTTTGTCTTTTCATTCCCTCCTTCCTCCCCTCCCTTGTTTCGGAGAGAGCAGGCGGATGCGTGCGATGCTGCCGCTCGATGCTTCTGGCCCCCCGCGCCGTGGTGGTGGCAGCCGCCCCCCGCCCCCTGCTGCCAGCTGTGTCCCCGCGCCCCGCATGACCCACATCTCCATCTCCTCCGCGCTAACAAAAGGAGCGCTAATGAATTGACAAGAGTCTCGCTTTTGCAAGGCGTGCTCCCGTCTCGTTGGAATAGCGATTACCGAAATATATTATTATAATTCGCATTATCGTCGTTATTAGGTTTCTAATTTTAGCAGCAGGGCTGCGTGGCGGCCTGGGGTGGGGGGGAAATTGTTGAAGCGATCCAGAGCGAGCGAGCGAGCGTGCGAGAGGGGAGCGACTCCGGTGGCGGGCGACGCTCGCCGGGGTGCGGTGCAGAGAGCGCACGTGAGGAATGGAGACGGGGATGTAAATCGATTCGATTAATATATATGGCTTTTCATTTTGGAAGCTGCCACCGGCGTTCAGCGATCGCGCGTCGCCGCTAACCGCCGCCGTAGCCCCCAGCCGGTTGAATTCTCAGCGGCGATGATCGCGCCAGGAACTTGAATTTCCCTTCGCCTCTCAAGGTGGCCTGGAGGATGGCGCGCAGCTGCGGCGCTCGCGCGGGCTGCCCCGGCTCGAACCGCGCGCCGGCAAACCCGACATAAGCGGCTGACGGCGAGAATCCTCCGGCCGGCTTCTTGCCAATCGCCTGCCGCGGCCCCCGCCGTGGTGTTCGCTTGAACCGCATCCGACCGACCGCGTCGGCGAATCGGATGCTTCGCCGGGGTCGCGCCATCCGACGGCTCGCCACCAGCTCCCCGTCGTCGCCGCCGGCACCTCCGGACGCCACCGTCCATTCGAGCGTCTTTTGGACGTCGCCGTCGGCCGACCGTCGTGCCCCGAGGCAGCGGCCGCCGCTGCCGCGACCGCCCCCGGCCGTGCCGGGACTCCCCGCTCGATGCCACCCCTGAGCAAGTGGAGGGACTTGAGCCACGCGCCGACGATGAGCGCCGACGAGCCGCGGGCGCCCTACAATCAGTCACTGTCGTGGCTCATCTGCGCCCTCGTGGCGTTCTTTGCCAACGTGTGGGGCATCCTGAGCGTGACGGCCAAGCAGCACAAGTGGAAGCCGCTGGAGATGCTGATCTGCGCGCTGGGCGCGACGCACGCCCTCAACGCGGGCGTCCCCATCGCCATGTACTCCGTCATCCAGATGCGCAAGTACTCGTCGGACTTCGAGTGGAACGAGGGCGTGTGCAAGGTGTTCGTGTCCACCTTCTACACGCTCACGCTCGCCACCAGCTTCACCGTCACGTCGCTCTCCTACCACCGCATGTGGATGGTGCGCTGGCCCGTCAACTACCGGCTGAGCAACGCGCGCAAGCAGGCGCTGCAGACCGTCGCGGGCGTGTGGACGGTGTCGTTCGTGCTGTGCGCGCTGCCCGCCGTCGGGTGGCACGACACGGCCGAGCGCTTCTACCACCGCGACTGCCGCTTCATCGTGGGCAAGATCGGCCTCGGCTTCGCCGTCTGCTTCCTGCTGCTGGTCGCGGGCAGCTCGGCGATGAGCGTCGCCTGCATCGGCGTCGCCTTCTTCCAGACAGTGCGCGCCGGGTGCGGGCGCGGGCACGCCGCCGCCGCCCGTGGCGGCGGCGGCGCCTCGGACGCCGCGTTCACGGTGCCCGCCATCGTGGTGGAGGACGCGCAGGGAAAGCGGCGCTCGTCCATCGACGGCTCCGAGTCGGTGCGGACGTCGCTACAGATCACCTACCTCGTAACGGCCGTCGTGGTGCTCTACGATGCGCTGGCTGCCATGCCCATCATGGTGAGCGACGTCGTCCTTGCCATCCCCCGACCCAACCCACCCCTCAGAAACATGCCAGCTAAGGTGTATTGTCGGCCTGGGCGCCACGGTGGCGAGATGTTAACTGCCTTGCCTGGTATACAGGAGGTTGTGTGTTCGACCCCGGCCCTTGACGCCTGCTGTATATTTGGAGTGTTCATGTTCCCCCCGTGGTCGCGTGGATTTTTCTCCGGGGTCCTCCGTTTTTTTTCGTCCACAGTATTTGGCTGCTATTCATTTCCACCGTCATGACAAGCCACTTCGCTGAGCTTTCATTTGTAGCCAGGTCGCTTCTGTAAAAGAGCTGTATAGCTCAGTGGGCCTTACCTGGTAAAATAAAATATCGTTCATAGTTTTTATAGACTGTGGCCTTTTCCCCAGCCACTCTGCTTGATTTGCACGTGGTTCCAAATGGTCGCGAATGGGAATTGCTCCAAACGACCCCGATTGCAGGAGTGCCGTGTTTCTGGACAGCGGTCGAGCTGGCCAAAGTGGGCGAGTGCATCACCGACACTTGAGATTATTTAAATTGTGCAGTCATTGGTGACCGGCTGAGTCCGTCAACTCGCTACACTGGAGAACCCGATTTAATCGCAGTGGGTGGCCGAAACCTGGATTCTTTTTAAACCCAGCATTTCGACGGTGCCGGCTCAGCGCTCCAATCTCTGCTCCACCCCAGCCACCTTTGTCTCTCCCGAGTGATCGCAGCTGACACGAGGAGCGTCTTGAACGTCGCTCCGTGCGGTGGACTTCTCCGCGTCGTCCCTTCCCCTTGCCGGCGGAGCGAGCGCCCTTCGTCGTTGTGTGGCCGATAACGCCTTTTTATATATATAGAGAGAGAACCAGCAGAGCCGCGTGTCTGCCACCTTCCCCGGGTTGTCTGCGGCCTCCTCTCATTCTTTCCCGACGACAGCGGGCGGTAGACTGGGCCGTGCAGAGACGGCCATGCGAGCAGCGAGCCGCTCGCTGGGTGTAAAGTGCTTAATTTATCGTAAACTACCGTCCGCTCACCGATGTCACAAATTGCACCGGAGGTGTTCAGTTAAAAGAGGAAGGAGCCGAAGCTGCTTATTTTAGACCCCAGATCGACGACGGAGCAGAGATGCTCACAAGAATTTGTTTTTTTTGCTGCGGCCGTGCCGCTGCGGTCTCGCCTGTGGACGCTCTCTCGGGACGCCGCGTGTGGTTACCCAGAATGCAAGGCGCCACAGTTATTTCCCTTGCCTGGTATGCAGGAGGTCGTGGGTTCGATCTCAACCCTGACGCCTGTATATTTGGAGTTTGCATGTTTCTCTCCCTGTGGTCGCGTGGATTTTTCTCTGGGTCCTCCGCTTTTTTCAACCACATTTAGAAACAGGCGTTCAGAGTATTTGGCTGCTATAAATTTCCACACAATCATAAGCCACTTCGTTGAGCTATCATTTGTGGCCAGGTGGCTTCTGATCTAAATCGTTTTAGCTCAGTGAGCCTTACCTGGTAAAATAAAATATCTTTTTTTTCAGTTTATGCAACGTTAGCCCAATCTTCTCTCTCGATGAGCCCATTCTCTCTCTCTATGAGTCTTTTATCTTTCTCTTTGAGAGTGAGAGGATACCGTGCGGAGGAGCATTGCAAGTTGAAATCGTGATTTCTGTCATCGGTGTTGTCATCGGCCACTGGCTATCCAACTGCCAGATGAAATCCATTTCAATGCAATCGTTACCACTCCTGAGTGTTTTCCAGTTGCGTCCCTCCGACGCATTGTTTATTTATTGTATTTCACTGATGAACGACAACAACGACAACAACAACAATAACAACAACTTGCATTGAGATTGCACGGTTAGAGTGGCGTCACACAAATCGGCCGAGGCGGCCGGGCTGGCAGATGTCCTCTCAGCTCAGCCATTTGAAGCAAAAATGTTATCCAAACCAAACCATGAACGAATAGACCGTCGTCTGTCTCCGCTTTTGCTGTTGCCAATCGTTACAATAACCAACAATTATAAAAAAACAATAGTTACAGCAATCGACAGCGTTTGAATGGCAGGAAATGACCGCGGATGTCCACAAAGAAGGCCACAAATAAATAGAAGGAAACCCAAAGTTCGATAAACGTCGTTTTTTTTTGGTTGTCCCTCTGTCATTCCCCCGCACCCTCCCATTGTCCCCCCCGACCCCCGTCCCTCAAGGCCGTGAGCTTCGTGAGCATCCGGCACGACGCGGCGCGGCCGTGGATGGTCATCGCTTGCCTCTGGTGCTCGCTGGTGCAGACCATGCTCTTTCCGGCCATGGTGTGGCTGTGCGAGCGCTACCGGGCCGACTGCCGCGCCATCTGGGACAAGTGCCTCGCCCTGCTGGCCAGCGACGAGGGTGCGGAGCCGCTCGCGGGTTTGCCGTCGCCGTGGCGACTGGACATCTGCGTGAAAGAGCTTGATAGCTCATCGGATTCCTCCAGGATAAAAGAAAAAAAATTCTGATTCTGTTATTGTTTTTTCAGTTGTTGTCATCGTCGTTGTTTCCCGCCGACGCGGAATCTGTCGTTGTGCTAGAGGACGGCCCGCGGAAGCAGACGTAGCGGAGCTGCCTCTGAGACCACGCGAGGTGGCTGCCGCTGTGCCCATGTGTCGCGACGCGGCCACTGTGGCTACACCGGGCTCGCCGGCCCAGGAGACATTTTGACCCGGTTACCGGCAGCAGATGTTCAGCATCCCATTGTTGAGTCTGAGCCAGATTGGCAACAAATGTAACGCAGCAGCGTTGATGCTGTTGTTGCTGTTCCAGAGACCGTGCGGTCAGAACGGCGCGTCCCTAAGGGCGCGCAATAATGGACGTTCAGACCTACTCTTCTCCGCGTCTGTGCGTATCGCTCTCTTATCTCTCTCTTGTCTCTCTCACCTCTCTCCCCCGCGCGACCGCCGGGTGCAGAGAAGTCCGCGGGCTGCCCCTACGCGTCCCCCTACGGCTCGGCGCAGCGCTTCGACCCGCTGGCCCCGCCCGAGACGCTCAGCGTGGAGCGCTTCACGCGCGGCGGCGGCGGCGGCGGTGCCGATGGCTGCGGAACCGCCGGGGAGCCCGGAGAGCCGGGGGGCTCCGAGCTCCACCTCGGCCTCGACAGCTTCCCCCTCTGCGAGCTGCCGCAGGGAGACCGCATGCAGTACCTGCAGGTGGCAGCCGCACACACACACACACCACCGTCATCGTCACGATCCATGGACAGATATCCCGCAGGTGTCCACCGCACATGTCGCCATTTGCCTCCACATTCCTCTCTGTCTTGTGGCAATATGCGCAAGTCGTGGCCACATCTTTCTGGCACCAATCTCTTTATGTCATCGTAAAGCCATTCCCTCTTAGGCCTTCCTCTCTTTCCAGTTCCCTCCATTTTTCAGAACCACACATTTTACATTGTCCTGCCGTTGTCCATCCTACATTTGTCCAGATAGTGCCCGTTTCCTTCTCATCACTGCCTGCATCATCAGCACCACGTCTTCTTCTACAGTGCAACTTATTTATTCTACATTGGTCACTCTTTGGGTTCAGCTGAGATGCAGTGTCCTTCTGCAGAAATACATTTTGAGTGCCAACAACATCACATCAGTCGTTTTTAATGCGCGAGTCTCGCAGGCATACAAAGCTGTACTGAGCAACGTATAGCCTTGAACAGACTGCTGTTAGCGAGTAGCAGTACCTACAAAGGCCGGCACGCCACATAAGGGGGTCTGTGGCCAGCACTACGCCCGCCCAGCCACTTATGTCTCATTGGTGGCGATGCTTACTAGACACCGCGCCAGGTACTAATTTGAGGCTGAGTCGACCTAGGGGAGGTCCAGGACCGATTCGCATAATCGCTACTTTGTGTTGACCGTGAGTGGGAATGAAAGTCTGGTTGCGGGGTTTGTAGTGCAGCATGATAAACGTTGCACTCCACTCCCCACACATGCACGCACACAGACAAAGATCCCCTGCAGAGCTGACTGTTGTAGTAATGTTAAATTAACGATGATCTATGATGATGATGACGACGATGATGACGAATATGATAACAATGGAAACAATGACGATGAGCAATAACAGTAACGTTGGCCATGACAGCATTACAATAACAGTCATGATTACGGCACTGTAGAAGATGATGAGGATGATGACAACAGTCGTGAAATCAATTACAATGATGAAACACGATGACGATGATGGTGACGACGACTATGATGATGGTGACGATGACGACGACGGTGATGACGGTGACGACGATGGTGATGATGGTGACGGTGATATCGACGATGACGACAATGATGATGGTGACGACGATGAGAGCGACGACGACGACGACGACGATGACGACATCGACGACGCTTCGACCGCCGCGCTCTCCCCGCAGGTGCCGCAGACTCGCCGCTTCTCCCACGACGAGGGTGACGTGTGGCAGGGCGCGCAGACCGCGTACCTCCAGGTCTGGGCGCCCACGGTGGGGGGCTCCGAGGTGCTCCACATCCACGGCGCCGTCAAGCCGGGCGACCCGGGCCCCGGCGGGAGCTACCTGCTCGCGCCGTATTCCGACCCGCAGCTCGCCGGCCACCCGGCCTACCACCACCACCACCACCGGCAGCGGCAGCGGCGCCGCCTCTCCGACGACTACGGGGCGCTCATGCGTCAGCGGCTGCCGTGCGGCGTGGGCGACGACGCCGGCCAGGAGGGCGACGAGACGGCGGCGAGGGCGCCCGAGTCGTCGCGGTACGTGAGCCGCGAGGACGTGGCGCGCTTCATCGACCGGACGTCGGTGCCGCTCGGCGGCGGCGGCGGTTCCGGCGCCACGGCGACGGCGACGGCGCCGGCCGACTCCGGCGAGCCGCGAACGATCGTGCTGGCGGACTTGGCGGAGGAGCCGCGGTGCAGGCACCCCGCTCCCCTCTGTCCTCACCCGGGCCCCGGCCCCGCTCCCAGCGCCGACGCGGGAGGAGGAGGCGGCGGCAGGGACGACGGTGCTGCGGAGCGGACTCGGGTCCCCGGCGTCGACGGCCCCGCGGGGGGAACTCCGACGCGCCACGGCGACGCCCGAGGACTTGCCGCGCCGGTCGTCTCGGTGTCGCCGGCCAGAGGGGCCGCCGCGGAGCCGTGCGACCGCGCGGCCGGCGCGACGTGCGACGGGTCGGACGGCGCCGCCGCCGTCGCCGCCGGCGCTCGGTCCGCGTGCGAGCGGGGAGCGCCGGGGGAAGCCGGCGCCGCGGCCGCGAGCGAGGGCGCGGCGTCGTAAGCGAATGCGTGCGAGGCGGCGAGCCGGACCGACCGACCGACCGGCCGACTCGCTCGCCGTGCGGAAAGAAGACGGACGGAGCGGCCGTTGGTCGTCGCAGGCCGTCGCCTCGGCCCGGCGGTGGTGTCGGAAGCGGGCGTTCGACGGAGCCGAGCTCGGACCTGTCCTCGCGACGCATTGCGCGAGCTCGGGATTCGACGCAAGCGCGCGAACGAAAGCGAGCGGAGTCGCTGTTGTTGCGAAGTCGCGAAAAGAGGCTCCTGCGTGCCGAGGACGGTGGTGAGAAATGTCACGGCGTGTCTCGGTTGTAGGAAAAGAAACACGTGGCCCAGAACAAGCTGTGCATTTTAATGGAAAGGAAACGTATAAAACATTTTAAAAATTGATTTCAGTGTTCTTTTTTCTCTACTCCTTTTGCACAGGGCTCAAGTCTTGCATCGACATGAGAAAAATGTAATTACAGAGCAAGAAGTGCCTGGGGTGTGCTGGAGAGAAAGCCATTGCTTCTTAAATAAAATAATTGCTTCTCAAAAACAAGAACGCTGGTGAACGTCGGGCGATCTTACAAAAGCCTCGGGCAGCTGTGTGTACAGGCACATGTTTATCTAACCTCCACCCCTCGATGAGTGGTGAGACTGTGCTAACAGTCGTTTTATCACTCTGAAAGTCATACCATGAGATCATCGTGATCATTATAAGCCATGGTATATCCACTGCTGGATGAAGGCTTCATCACGCTGTCGCCATTCCTATTGGTCCTCTGGTAAGAATCTGAATGTTTATTTTTCCTGGAGAAATACGATGAGCTATTTTTTTCACAGATGTCCAGTAGGGACAGGTCAGAACGTTACAACAACAAACAATTCAACAACACAGTCCATCTCACTCCTTCACACGAATCGGTCTTAACACTGCCGTCTCCCCGGTGACCTACGTGGGACACGTTCTGCTCTACGCGTTGCGGCCGCCATTCCTCCGTAAGGCCTGTCCATGGGTCGTCATCCCTTCCCGTGGATGCGTCCTGCCCAGGCCCACTTGCTGTTCTAAACAGTCCGTTTGGTGTCTGTGATTTGCAGTTGCTCACGGATCCGTATGCTCCTCTTTCTGTCTTGCAGTGCAGTTTATTTCAAGTACAAGTTTGGGCCTTTACATTCCTCTTCAGCCATGTTTCCTTTTCAAATTCCGGCAGGTCCCAGAATTCCCACTTATCGAGCAGAGCCACACTTGAGTCCAAGGACTCATTATCAGGAGGGTGCTGCTACATTTGGGTTTTTATTTTAAGATGTTTCAGCAAGTTAATGGGTTGTTTATTATATGTGGGGGAGGAAACCCACGCACGTGAGGGGGAAACGCTCTATCCCCATACAGATAGAAACAGATGGCGATTACTCCACCGCCTTCTCCTGTGCACCACCTTCTGGCGAGCCAGGGTATGGCACCACCCCGTCGCCCACGGGAAGGGAGTTTCACAATGCCATCTGTGCGGTGATTCACCAACCCTAGGTGCTGCCACGTGCAGCGCAGCTACCGCCGCTGCCCGGCTATCCGCCGGTTACCCTCAGAGCGGAGCTAGTCAGAACCCAGCTGTTGTCACGGCTTGCCGATCAGGCGCGGGTCAGCTCATTTTTATCGCGTTGTCGCCTGACCCTAACCCAAACGGAAACCCGTAAAAACGTACAATTCCGACCTGCTTCGTGGGTCGCCGTGGGTACCCGTGGGTACCCGAATCTGTTAGTAATTTCAGGACCGCAACGTTTCCCTTGCTGCTGTTAGCCACCAACTTCTAGAGGATTTTTCCATACACTAATTCTGGTTGGGGGGGGGTTAATGGGAACTGAATGGCCTCAGCATTCAGATACCCTCGTGTGAGTTACCCCATCGGGCGGATTTGAGTCCAACGTTTTTAAATAATACAACGTGTGTTTTCGGTGAAGAATTTGGAATCGCATATCTGTTGTCAGATATGTCTCTTCTGCAGTGCACTCAAAACGACGTCTCTCTCTGGGCTGTTATTCATGAGATGTGACCTTTGTGACTGTTTAACGATGCATCTTTACAGGAATCGGCGCGATTAATCTCACTCCGGTAACGTCTGAAAAATATGAAGCTGATTAAAACAAAAACCCGTTTTATTAGGATCCCCGCTCGATGTTGTGCAATGTACATAATATACGTAACGTTTTTTTGTTACGTTTTCCTAAAATGTAAATAACACAGTGTAATTTGTTAGGTGTAAAAAAAATATGTTTAAAAAACACGAAACGACAACTTTTGTACAAAAAACTAAATCCGTTTGCATGCCCTGTCTTGCGAACCGATATCAGTTGCAGCGTTGGGTTCACAAACCCGCGAACGTGCGCGGTTTGTCAATTCGTCCGTTTATCGAATCGTGATTTTGACATGTCGAGTCTTCGCTGCGTCGCCACAACCAGCGGCGCGATTGTTTTATCTTTTATTCTCCCCCCCCCCCCCGTGCTGTTGATGGTGCACTTACGAGATTTGACGGTGCACTGACGAGAATACGAACACCACTGCCGTGTGCCGCGTGCCGCGTGCGTTGAAGACACCCGCTAAGAGCCAGTGTACAATGGAGTACACTGGCTCTTAGCGTCACGTGGCGCTTTATGGGTACAGAAAAGTCTACGGACTTCACCTGCCCATTGCTTGTTCGCAGCTATGACAGCAGCTCTCAAACAGCAGTCCTTTATTCAAAGGCCACTCCCCAACCTCTGCCTTTCCACAGTCTACCAAATCTTCTTCTTTGTTGTTCCCACGCAGTTCGAGGTGGCGCTTGGCTGGTGAGCGGAGTGATGTTCGCTATCAGTCTGTTGCTTGACTTGGGATGATTGCGTAACAGGGGGTGAATTGAAAATCACCGAATTTGAAACAACGCAATTGAATCGCTCCGGCATTAATGTTTCGGTCTGGCGGTTTCAATGGCAGAATGTTTGCATATTTTTTTAGCGCAGACATTCGATGCGGTGGCTCGTACGCTGCACCGCAAACCTGGTGACATGGGTTCGATTCCCAGCCACGGCTAACAACTTTCACTGGCCACTTGATGATACCCTTGGGAAAAAACGTGGCTAACATCAGTGGCGTATGATATGTTAACCAGTCCCGGCAAGACCCCTCTACGCTAACCCGCATTGACCAGCTTGGCGAAGCATGGTCAAAAAACCCACATGACCGACAAGCCATTGGGGAGCCTTCACCCAGAAGAGTTGTCAATTATCATACTTGTCATCTGAAAATCAAACGTGGTTGAATTTGTTTTATTTTACATGTGCTCTCATTTACATTGAAGCAGTGGTGAGTGGCATCTTTAAAGTTACATCATCCTCATTTGTCATCTACGGATGCCGATGCTGTGATGATGAATCCATGTACTGCGTGCGTTCACCTTTATAAAGAGGCTGACTCTGTGTGTGTGTGGGGGCGTGTATAGCCCATGGGCTTGTAATTACCAACATCGGCGCATCCACACAACATCATGGATGCATGCCGGGTCCAAGCAATAACATCTGCTGGACTACATAGTGACGGACCAGCGGATGCGAGCCCATGTCCTTGACACCAGGACCTACCGTGGAGCTGATCTTCCCTCTGACCATCGACTAGTTATCTGTAAGATGCGCCTGCCATTCTTCCACTCCGGTGGTGGGTGTATACCCAGGACCCCATTCCAACCTAAAGTGGCCTGGTCTCAGTTAGCTGATGAAAGTTGCAAGCGAGAATTTCATCATCGCTTGCGGCTGGGGTTGGCATCGTCCTCCCCTCCTCCTGATGTCGAGGGTAAATGGGCGAGGTTTAGGACTGTGAATCATGCAGCTGCAATGGCTGCTTTGGGTACGCGGTCCAGACCTCCCCAGAGACCCTGGCTGACAGAGGAGGTGTTCAGGATAGTTGAGAAAAAGCGACAGGCCCACTATCATCGGCTACAGAATCCATCTTCAAACACGAACACTTTGCATGCACAATTTACATCGGTTTGGAGATTGTGGCATACGCACTCAAACACGCGGATTCCAATATGAGACTGCTTGCTTAGGTCATGTCTTTAAATAAAAGGTAAAATATTTGCATTATCACAAGATTGGAAATGTACCTACTCATGCACCGTGGGCTTACTTCCGTTCACGCACTCAATATTACCATGGTTTTAGAATGTAAAAAAATATATATTTTACAACATGTTTAAATTTTATAATTTCATGCGTAATTTATTCAGTTTTATTTTCTTACTATTTATTTTCGGAATGTGTGCGCAATGGTGTGTTATTATTGCTCTCGTTGTGTTGTGAATTAATGGGTTGTCTGCGGATATTTTTTTATTTTCTCTGACCTAAGTGGAACTGATGAGCTGCTGCAATCTCTGTGAGAGTCGCATTGAACATGTGTCGTGAATCTTAAGGGTCTGTCCCGGTTAAATAAAGATCAATGAAAAATAATGTATATCTTGTGATAATATCAAATCCAAATATACACGCATTGTAATATTTTAAATATTTATGCCTTGATAAAAAAAATCTAATTATAATAGCCAGAGCAATCGATTTGGGGATGTGGTCTCTGGATTGATGTTGAGGTCTCTACAGGGGGGGTGGGTGGGCGGGAAAGTGCTTAATGATATATTGAATTAGCTTATTATTGAAAGCCACAGCAAGTGCCCTAGAGCAATTAGGCTGTTCACATTTCAGGCTCTTGTTTGTCGGTGTATCCAACTGTGGTCAATATGAGTGGGCCTACGTAAAATAAATACGGCCGCAACATTTAACGGTGTGAGGTTAACGTGTCATCATGAGTTTTGTTTTGTTTTCGTACTTTTGGAAAATCGTTGCCCCCAAAAAAGCATATGGTTGTTGTAAGATTGTTAATAATTGTAGTAAAGTTTGGGTTTACTGTTGCTTGTTCCACATTAATGTTTGCTCTCACTTTTAAAATAAAATGAACAGCGACATTCAAAGAATACACAAGTGGGGAAATGCTTTCCTGAGTGGTGGACGCAAAGATATGTTTTAAGTTCCAAGTTTATTTGAGATGAAGAGACCAGGTTCGTCTCGCCAAAATTACAAAACAACATTAACTTAACGTAATGGGCTCCATCAACAAAGTGGAAAAAGGTGAGTGGATCAATTAACCAAAGAGATTGTGTTTGAGACATTGGGGAGCTGCACACGGTAAGGAGCAACCTTTGAATTGCGCAGTTGACTACGTACGGTGAGAAAGAAGTTCAACGTACAACCTACCATGCCGATTGCGTCGATGACAACAAGAGGTCTGTGGAGATGACAATACCACGGCCTTCACGGTAGCATTCACTGAGTGCAGAACTCCACTGTCCTATTTCACACGACTTAGCCACAGCAGCTCTCTATGAACTATTATCTGAGGGTTATCTCCATTTTTTATTAGCACGGTTGGCTACGCACGGTGCGAAAGAAGTTCAACATACATACGAGTAAAATTCACGTATAATCCCCACGGATAATGGCATCTGCGATGTAGGTTCCCCCGTATAATCGCAGTTAAGAGTTATCGTGTAAAACCACACTTTTGTATAAAAAATATATAGTGTCCACGAGCCTATATATATATTTTACCAGTGGCATGCCACGGCAAATGGAATAGTTGAGGATATAATACACGAGGGGAAAAGGGAAATAATAGGAAAAATTATGGCAAGGAAATGGAAGAACGAGAGCAAATGGTCAGGGGAGATTTAGATTGGGATGAGGTTTAGGCTCCATCGGGGCTTCGACGCTGCTGCACAGCACAGCGTCTGTTTTCACAGTGGGCGGGGCGAGGGTGCAACGCAGAAGTCACGTGGTCTACGGGAGACTCGAGACCGATGAAGTTCGACGTTTCCGGTCCATGCCCACAGCAGGTCATGTGCACCGATTGAAAACTGTTTCTCGAGGCACGCTGTTGGTCACCAGTAACGGCACGCCGGTTTTCGTTGTCGACGCCGGGTTTGTTTTATTTGCCCCAAAAATCAATCCATGACACGCGCTTAGAACTACCGCCGAGGAAGAGGGACACGTCGATTCGAGGACATACACGGGTTAGTTAGACTGTTGAGAAGGCCGGTGTCTTAACCCAGGCTGAGACACCGTCGTGGTTGAATGACGGGCGGTGTACCGGTGAGCGACACTCGTGATTCAGCGGAAGCCAAAATGAGTTTACAAAAGAAAAACACACGTGGAGGAAACGGAGCGGTGTAATCACAGGCGCTCTAGGTGGATGTATCGCATCGCCAGACCGCGAGAGATGGCGACAGCTTGAGGAGGAGGCCTTCAACACAACAGTGGATAGACCACGGCTGATTATAACGTGAAAAAGAGCTTTATGGCTCATCGGATTCCGCCAATACGAAGTTTCCCATTCAAATATTGAATCAATTCTGTATACATCGTATGCATGTATGGAGTCGTGTGTACGATTAACGTATTTCGATTCCCCATACTACATAACGGTGAAATGGAATCGATTCGAGAATTCGCTAATAAGTAGGGAATAACCAAAGTGTCGATTCCTGATTGCGATTCTACCTGCTTGTGTGGTAAGCGTGTGTGCTATCATCTCTCGCTCGCGTCAACATGTGTATTACAATTATACCGCTGTGATTGCGATTATTTTTTAATCTAGTTGTTTTGAAACGTTCATAATGGGCAACTGCAGTGAAGAAAATGCGGGAAACGTTCGTTTTTAATCAATATTCAATTTTAAAATAAAAACGTGTGGCCTTGGTCAGGCTTCAGGCCTAGGCGCATGGGTCTCGTTACCATTGTTATAAATGTAACTTATATAATACAGTCCTCGACTTACGAACGCACGTACTTACCAGCTTCTATTAATTTTTTAAAAAATATATATATATGACATTGATTTAAAGCGCGAACTCGCAATTGCAAACTGAACCGCGGAACTAGTTTGTGCAGAGGAGCGATCCTTAGCGAGCTTTAATGAGTCGGCCTCGCGCTGTGAGTGTGCGTGTGTGTGTACATGTGTGTGTACATGTGTGTATACATGTGTGTGTGTACATACATCCTGGGTTTAATCAGGCTGGATTGTGTGAGGAGCTCACAAATCCTTGAAAGATCTGGGCAAGGTCCCATCGGTGAGCTCCGGCGGGCAAGGCTGCGTTGGCTGGGTCATGTAGCCCGCATGCTCAGCCACCGCATGCCGAAACAGCTTTTGTTCGGCCGGATCGAGGGGGCTAAACGGGCGCGGCACAGGCTAGAGAAGAGATGGAGTGATGTGGTACAGGAGGACGTGGAGCTGAGTGGACTTGCTGATGACTGGTACCAGCGGTGTCAAGATCGGCCTCTGTGGAGGAGGGTCGTGAAGGACGCTACTGGGCAGTGCCAGGCTAGGTGCACCGTGAGGTTACTGGGCAGTGCCAGGCAGTCGCCCTCCAGCTACAACGGAGGGCAGAGGAGCCATGCTCACAACAGCGAGCGGAGCGCCGGGTGGATAAAACACAGCAAGTTGGCACAGTAAGGGGCACGCCCAGTCATCTAAGTCTGTCACCTTATGGGTCTGCCCCGTGACCTCCTGCTGGCGGGCGTTCGACACTTCACGTGGCCTTAACGTGCACACCGCCTGGCACAAGCGCCGTGGGGACGTCACCGCATCTTAGTGGCGAATGGCGGTTGTTGTTGTGGGGAGCTCCTCCAGCAGGCAAGGCTGCGTTGGCTGGGTCATGTAGCCCGACTGCCCAAGCAGCTTTTGTTTGTCCGCATAGAGGGGGCTAAACGGGCACGACATTGGCTGGAGAAGAGATGGAAGTGATGCGTTGCGGGAGGATGTGGAGCTGAGTGGACTTACCGACGACTGGTATCGGCGGTGTCAATATTGGCTTCGATGGAAGAGGCTCGTGAAGGATGCTGCTGCGCAATTGGAGGCAGTCGCCCTCCAGCAACAACGGAGGGCAGAAGAGCGACGCCCACAACAACGAGTGGGTGCCGGGTGGCTAAAATGCAGCAAATTAGCACAGTGGGGGGGGGGGGGGGTACAGCTGGTGCATATAACCCAGGGGTCGGCAACCTATGGCTCGCGAGCCAGATGTGGCTCTTTTGATGACTGCAGTCATCAAAAAATGATGACTGCAACTGGCTCGCGAGCCATAGGTTGCCGACCCCTGATCTAACCGGTCATCTCCGTCGACCAACCCATGGCACCTGGGTTTGTCCCGAGACCTGTCAGCGAGCCTTTGAGACTTCACGTCGCCTGAAAGTGCACCTGGCCTGGCACAGGCGCCATGGTGACGTCATCGTCACTTCCTGGCGAATGGCGAGTATTGGTGTGTGGGGAGCGGTGGTGCAGCGGTTAGCGCGCTTGCGCTACGAACCTGCGACCCGAAGTCGATTTCCGCTCACGGCCAATATCGGTGACGATTATCCAAACCGGTTCTGGGCCTCCCCTAGGTCGACTCGGCTTCAAATGAGTACCTGGTGCGGTGTGTAAGCATCGCCACTCGGGAGACAAAGGCAAACGGGCGTAGTGTTGGCTACCCACCCCCTCGTGTGCCGTACCCGGCCTTCATAAGTGCTATTTGCTAACAGTGCTTGCTCCTACAGTCTGTTAAGGCTATACGGGAGGGATATTTGTGTGCTCGTGTGTGGAGAGGAGCGGTAGTGCAACGGTTAGCGCGCTCTGCTACCAACCTGGCGACCAACTTTCAATTCCCGCTCACGATCAACACCAGTGACGATTAACGGAATGGGATCTGGACCTCCCCTAGGTCGATTCATCCCCAATTAAGTACCTGGTGCGGTGTTTAAACAGCGTCACTGGGGAGACAAAGGCAGCCGGGCGTGGTGCTGGCCTCTCACCGCATGTGTGCCGTGCCGGCCTTCATAGCCACTGCTCGCTAACAACACTTGCCCCAACAGCCTGTTCAGGTCATACATGGGATCGTTGTCGTTTTATTAATTTTGCGTTGTCTACATTTGTGTAGCTGAGCCTCTCTGCATTGCACAGCATGGATTATAGACGGACTGGGATATGCTGTGGGAATCTGTAATTTCCATCACTGGCCCAGGTCTGAAGAGTAGACATTTTTCTTTTGAAAATGTATCCCCAAGTGTTTCATTGAGTTATTTGACTAATTGTGCGCTTCATTTAGCCACTCTATAACATATCGCCGATGACCAAATTGCCTGGAACATGCCCAACTTTGTCAAATCTCGAAAGCTAAGCAGTATTGAATCTGGATCGTGCTTTTTTATGGGCAAACACCATGCACACATCGCTATAAGCTGCGTGGCTACATGGATGGGTAGTAGAGGACAGTGCAGCAAAACCCATTTGCTATCCGCATTTTTTCTTCCACGTCTGCTGTCCGACTTTGACCGCAGGACCTTGGAGATATTGATTTATCGGGGCTAACGATGACCCAAGTTGTGCTTGGATATTGTGTGTCGCAGACCGTTTACGAGCGATCACTTGACTTTATCGTTTTCAGGGCGGTGCTGCCTAGGTTGAGACATTGAAAGGCAGCGCTAACCGGAGCTCCGTACCGGGCCATGGCGGAGAGCGACGATGAGTATGACCGGAGGAGGCGCGACAAGTTTCGCAGGGAGCGTAGCGACCACGACAAGACGCGCGACAAGGACCAGCGGAGGAGAAGTGACACCAGCTTCAGGTGCGCCTGTCTCAGAGGCAAACCACGGACACATATTAACTTCTCCGGTTTGAATTTTTTGTTATATTTACGTTTGCAGCCCCTTCTGTCAATCCGCTGACGGACGAGGGCCTATCCACACCTTGCGGGTCCTGGGGGTTATTTAGTGCAAGTTGGTGAAGGCGGGGGAGCATAGACGTGGAGGGCACAGAAGTACGGTACAATAATGGTTTTTGCTCCACTGTTGCCTGCTGCCTACCACCACTTAGTGGTTGCATGAATTACCAATTGCATCCATAAATGTAATTATACATCCATTCTCCCTCCATACAATGCAGTGAATTGTAAAATCTTCGTCAAGTTTTGTTTCAACAATAAATTATCTTTTGCTTAAAAAATTTCTGCCCTGCTATTTACATATGACGCCTTGTTTTATTAATCTAAATTCCATATTTTGAGTGAATTTTAAGTAAGTAAATATTATGAATATGATTTGGTGGATACATCATGAGTGACATTTTCTTTATCGTAGAATCAGAACTTACCAATAAAGAAATGTATTTCAGGAATTATTACAGTCAAGCCAGGGGACACTTCATTCAATTGGCCTCTCATCCAATCCTAGATTGCATCCTTTTATGAAGAAATACCTAAAACTGAAAAATCATTCAACGCAATTTCTAGAACCGAAATACAATCCATTTGATGAGTGATTAATGCTTTTCCATACTGCTGAATGCTTTTTTTTGGTGGGCCTAATTTCAGCATAGAGCCATATTTGTCAGCAAGTATATGTACTTGTTTTTTTTTAAAGCTACAATGCAAAAATGAATGATGTCTTTGACCACTTTGTACACGTGCAGTCGGGATCATCGTAAGCGAGAGAGCGAAAGAGACAGGGGCCGGAAGGAAGATTACCGTGACTACGACCGCAATCGATGGGAGAGATACTCTCCCCGACACGAGATCAGCCCCCCACCAAAACGCATGCGAAGAGAATGGTGAGCTCTTGATTGTCCCATTACTTGAATGTTACACACTCCTTGATATACTAATAACATAGTGTACAACCCTCTGTCAGTCCCCTGTTCGATGAAGGCCTTTTTACATCGTTTCGGTGGTGGGGCTTGCTTTGCCTTCACGCTGGTCACTGTGGGTTGGTGAAGGGGGGGTGGGGAGGTGGTGAGTGCTAGTTCAGTTGTTACTTCCTACCGATGTTAGCCATGGCTGGGAATCAAACTCGGGTATCCAGGTTCATGGTGAAGTGTGTTAACCACGTCCCATCGTTTCACGCTTGACAAAGCTGAAATAGATCTTTTGGCACCATTAAGGCCCCAAAGAATGGGTGTAGAACATAATTTGCATCTACTTTTCAATCATGGAATAGGGTGTACTGGTTTTAGAATACGCCTCCATTTAAAAAGTACTCGTTCAAATTTTGGTCATTTCTAAACGTCTTTTAAGTTCAAGTTATTGAGGTGAAATGTGTCGAGACGTTCAGTGCTCCCGTAATTAACCCAACCTACGACTTTTTAAATTAACTTGCAGTTTAAAATTGCGGTTGCACTTCTTTGTTTCGCTTTATTTTTCAGCGGTTGATGCTGTATTGGGTGGTAGGTTGCATATAAATCAACGATTTTCATGACAAAACTTGTTTCATGTTAAGTGGTGAGAAAAATATTGTCTCATCGCCTCCAGTTTGTGAAGGCAATTTGTACAGGTGGATTAACTAACTGGAATATGATGTAGCGATGGCTTCATTAAATCCTTTTCACCAGATGGGTGCATACAGACCCCATGCATCTTTGCAAAATAAATGGTCTGGTGGGAGCCCAGTAATGTCCCAACATCATCGCATTGCTTAATTAAAAATGAATATCTATATGAAACTTAATACTTCACCACGGGTCAATTTTACAATGAACAACAAATTTTCATCCTGTCACAACACTTGAGTCATATATTGTTGTTGTACATTGGTGAGTGAGGGGTCACTGAACAGTGTCACGTGATTAATGATTTGGTTCTATACAATCTGTGACATTTGTCACGAGTTTAAAATAACAAAGCAGTACAGTAAATTGTGCACGAATATCTTTGCCTTCTGTATGGGATCGAGTGTTTCTCCCTCGCATGCATGTGTTTTTTCCTCTGAGAGCTCCAGTTTCCTGCCATATGTATGAACACTCATTAAGTGTCTGAAAACATCTTAATCTATTGAGGACTGCAGAGCTTGGAACATTGTTGGCTCGCTCACCACGTGACTGCCAGTCTCTTGTAGAGAGAGTGCGAATGCGGTGCAGCGCGTTATGCTTAGTATTCGATATTGACCTTGTGCACGTGTCTCTGCCCTCACAAATGTTTCCTTTGCAGGGAAGAGAGACCCGTGGAACCATATCGCCCACCCTATGACTTCCCAGCCGCACCTCAGCACTTCGTCCCCCCATGGGGACACCAGGAGATGCACCCCATGCAGCACCACGGCATCCCTGTGCATGCCAGGTCCCTATGCACACAACACACATGTAAACGCATACATACGTACACAAACGGACACAGTGCATAGGCACATAACACACATGTTAGAGTGTAAATAAACACGAGGGACTTACATGCACATGAACAAAATACACATGAATAGACAAAGATCTCAATCGTCTTTAATTGACTAATGGGGAAAGTGCAGTTAGCGAACGCATATGAAGGCTGACAAGACTGCGGGGAGATGTGTGGTGGGCAGGAAAGGATAGGGCAGCCAAACATTTGTTGTGCTGTTTATCAGTGGTTCCAGGTTTGCTTCCTACTTTCACCAACCTGCAATGACTAACATTTGTGGAATTAAGGCCAAGCTCCACGGCCCTTAAGAGTGTGCGAAGGGCCTCCTCCAACAGTGGATTTATCAAAGGGCTGTGCATACATCGAGTCATTTATTGAAAGACATTCCACGTTCATTCACAATCCATCCGGGTTTCAGCTGTTATAGCACATGTAATAAAAACAATGGCTGATGATGGGTTAGCCAAAACATTTTAATCCACCAGTGTTGGAATAAGAAATTAAGCACACAATGCATTCAACAGGCCATGGAATAGTGTCGTCGTGTGCAGAGTAATGACAGAGGGGACAGGAAGCAAGCTCTCAGAATGACGGAAAGTTGCAGAACTAGGGTTTGGCTCACCGCATTGCCACCATATTTGTCGGCAGGCTTGGCAACATGCCGCCAGAGATGGAGATGCCGCCTCCTCCGCCAACCATGAAGTCTTTTAAGGAGTTCCTCGTGACTCTGGATGATGCCGTCGAGGAGACCGAGGCCGTGAAGCTCTACAGTGAGTACAAGCAGGAGTTCCAGCAGCAGCAGATGCAGGACTTTTTCCTGGCGCACAAGGGCGAGGAGTGGTGAGTCGCCCAAACGCACACGCCCGCCCGACCACTCTGCACACTCGTTGAGTGACGTGGCTGTACCCTTTGCCGGTATCTATATGCGAGGCGATCATATAAACGAAGTGGCCGTGGGTGTAATCATTAGTACGCTGGACTTGTAATCCAGAGGGCTGCCGTTTGATTTCCTGGCGCGGCAGTTGAAACAAGGCGTGGGTTTCTGAAATCCCCTCTGCCTCTGTTCACCCAGCAGTGTAAAATGAGTACCCCGCAATTGATATTGATGTGCAGGTCCACGTGGTGGGATACACAAAGCAAATGCATAACTACCAGCTTGAAGGGCTCTATGCAGCTCCCTCTAGTATGGATGCCTTTCTGCCAGCAGTGGAGTGAGCAAGGAATGGAAGGGTTTACACGCTTCACCTTTTTACCGTGAAAACTATCCGGCTGATTTATTATGAAGTCCTCTCCGCTGCCAAGCTGAAAAGCGAAGAGGACCTGTGCCTACAGAGGCGCAAGTGCAGTGGTATGTGATGTGATCCTTCTCTTTTGCAGAGGAGGACTTACACGTCCCCACTGCAATGTCACAAGATGACACCTTGGACTAACATTGATTGAATAAAATGTCCTGCGGCTCAGATGATTTAAAGGAAGATGCAACCCAAAAACTCAACCAAAAAGCTCTATTCTTGCATACATTAACCCATTCTCTTGTGTCCCACCATGTCCGACACCAGTTTGAACGTTTCTTCGTAGAGAAATTCTTTAAAGTGGATTGCAGGCACACCATGATAGTGGTTGAGTGACATCACCTTTAAAATTAGCATCACTGAAAACAACGTCGGTAAAGTGGCGGTTTAACGCCGCTTTAATAAGTGCCACTTTACCATGTACAAAAGTCACTTTTAATATATATTTTGTAACGAAGCTTTAAATTTATGTTGGACAGCATGGGACACATGGTCTATGCCTCTACAATATCAGAGCCACTTGTGTTTTGGGTTTTCAAGAAGATGGATATAACAACGCATTTATATAATTTAAGTTTGAACACAGTTATTTTTATACTGTCCAAAATATGTCAACTTATTTGATTTGCTTTTAAAAATAAGCATTTAAAAGTTTATATGGATAAGTAATGTTGCATGCCTTGCATAAATGTAACTTTTTTTGTTTACAGATACTGCCTTAAAATTGTCAATTAGAATTATAAAATGTTAAATAATTGACAGCACTAGTTGGCATTTTGGATACTGTTCCGACTATTACACATGTAATACTGTGCCTGCTTCTTGTTCAACAGCCATTTGTGAAAATGCTTTTCTGACACAAAGAGCATGAAAGATCCATTACTTTGGATAATTTTGTTTTGGTTTGTCGAAATTGGTGCATAAATTCTAATTTACAAAATTTGTGAGCACCTCTTTTCACGGTGCTGGGCAGCTTCTACCGTCGTGCGGAGAGGTCTCATTCGAGATCGGATAACTAAAAAGACACGTGGCTGCAATGTGAAATGTGAACAGCAGCCAACTCGAGGCTCTGTGTGTTACAGTGGAAGCGGTGATGTTTGTTTTGATGCCTGTGACTAATTTGCATTTGAACCTAATTCTTTTCCCCCTTGAAGATCGAGGTGTCGACGCCAGCCAACGGGACGCAGTGTAATGATGTCTCTTCCACTGGAGCACGTAGCGTAGCTTTAGGGTCCTCTCCCCAACGCTGCGCACAATGCAGCGTTCAGACTAGCCTGGCTAGGGCGCAAAGTGTCGTCGGCAGCGCGTTAGCAGTCAGACGGCCACTCACGCTAGCGTTTCCTTTGCCCTGCGAACAATGCAGGGCGCTAAACCGTAGCTCCCGCCTCAATACGTTTACTCCACGTTTTACCGTTTGCCCTTCCTCTGGCGCTGTGCTCAACGCAGCGCCGGTCCCCCGATCTCCAATCTCCTTAAAAAAAGCAAAAAAACAAAGCCTGCGCCCCACCTAATATCCGTAGTGTGTGGCCGATTGCCTTCGTGCAGAGCTAGCGTTGTCTTTCTGAGCTCATGCCCAGCGAAGCACATCTGCACTCACCCCGGTATTGCTCCCACTCATAAGTACTACACTCATGAAGGGAATCAAATGTTAATTGACAAATGACCACAGACTTTTTAACCGCTCAGTTGTGCCGTGTGTTACAATTAATTTCACCCACTGATGCTGTAATCACATTTACATGTGCTGTTTTCCAGTAAACTATGATACATCGTTAAATGTATTTCTTTTATATCTTTTTTGCTAAATTGAGTTAACATGCATTTATGAACAATTTAAAATGTTGAAAGTGACACAAATTGATACACTTGATTGTTTTCAACTTGATTTACACACGAAGGCAGTTGCATACAACAATTAAACATTTACAGTGATCCATTTGAATCGCACACCATTGAACAAATTGAATCTTGACGTTTACACTTTACTAATTTATGAACGGCAGTTGTATTGTTTGGACGAGAACAAAAAAACGCATTGTCTCAAGCGCCCTTCCCCTGTCCCCTTGTGCTCCTGCGTGCGCTCGCTCCCGCACGCCGCTGCCGTTCGCTCGCCCTGCATGCACGCGCGCCGTCACCGCAGGTTCCGCACGCGCTACCACCCGGACGAGAGGGAGAAACGGCGGCGAGACATCATCGCTTCGGCGCGCCACCGCGTCGCCGTCTTCTGCATGCTCAAGCAGCACAAGTGGCTGGACAATGTCACCCTGGATCTGGACAAGACCGACCAAATCGCTCACTTCCTCGATGCTGGTGCCCCATCACTTTGCTCGCTTGCTCGTCCTGTCAGTGCCGCAATGACGTTCGACAATGTCACTTTTTAAAGACGATAAAAATGGAAATAGATGTATCGGTCATAAGAGAGTTTTTTTTGGGTCAGATCGCGTAAATATATAAATGTTAAAACCCGCCACCACCCGACGCAGCCAACTAGTAAGGGTTGTCACGTAAACAGAACGTGGCCAATTCGTCACTAGTACAGCACTAACCGCTGTGTTGGAGAGCCAAGCCACAACATTTACAGTCTTGAGTACGACGTTTCGCCAGTAATTGCAACTCGCGTCATCAGGCGACAGCCAGATTTGGCTGTACCTACTCAGACCCTAGACTTAAGACTCCAACCCAAACGCAAGGTGAAGCCTCCACACCGATCTGTCGCGACCTTGGCACTGTCAAATTGCTGTCATATATTGCATGTTATTTTTCCTGGCGTGCTCGAGACGTGCGTGGTGACGGTGACCACGTTACCGGCGTATGCGTGTGACCGACTCGCGATGCGATTTTTTCTTTGCTCGCACAGCTTCGATGCTGATGGAGGGCGGCACGGCGGAGGATCTGAAGGCCCTGGAATTGAAGGAGGAGCCGCCGAAGCCGGTCATTCCGCCGTGGGTGTCCCTGGGGATCGTGCCGCCGATGGCTGGCAAACCTGTGACCCCCACTCCTAAAGCGAGCGTGGTGGAGCCCCCCAAAGAAGAGAACGTGGCCCCAGACATACCAGACAAGGTGCCCGTCTGCTCTGAATGGGTTCCTATGTTTAAGAATTAATGCCTATATTTGACAGATCTGCGCCACGTTGATGGAAGGGAAGTACGTAGCATTGTGACGCTAAGTGCGAATTAATTCTCAACAGGCCACTTTGAGAACGCTGCTGTCAGTCTAATGATTGTGTGTGGGGGTGGGGTTTTTGTCTAAATGATGGGCTGTAACAGCCGCCATGACAATTTGTGACAGTCGAGTAAAAAAAACGTAAGCAGTCGCTTAAGAGCCTCGGCAATGTTGACGGTTGAGAAAATATAGTTCAAGAGATTTAGCATTTTCCACGGCCCCCGAATCGTGTCAATCGAAAACATCAACATCTATGCATCTCTTGTAAGTGGGGCAAATCTACCGTTATCTGTGAACCCCACTACATTAACTCTTCCTTGTGAAAATGATTGAACTAATTCCCCTCTGATTTAAAGCTTTCGTGACTGCAGGGATTCATATTCTTGGTTCTTTCGGTAAAGTCACTTGACTTTATCGAAAGAACCAAGAATATAATTCCCCTCTATATTCCAAAATGATTGTGTAAAAATAGTCGTACCTCGGTTAACAGTGACATCGATTAGCGGTTTTTCGATTAACATTTTGCCTCTCGTAGGATCCCATGGTTTCGACTAATGGTAACATTTTGACTAACGTTATGTTTACGTTATGCATGCGGGCGCCAATTTTGGCCAATCCGAGCACTCGTAAGTGAGCTGAAATGCCTCAGCCAAACAGCTACGCCCATTCTCGTTTAAACCTTGATTGGCTTTGTTTACATTTTACTTTCTGTTCTTGCAATAGCTAACAGTTATTTTCGTAAACAGTAGTTTTCTTGGAACGGATTAAAAACGTTAACCGAGGGACTAATATATGTTTTCGTATACCAGTAGAATTGGACCTTTTATCAGGAGTATCCCACGTATAGATGTTTGACTCGTGTTTGGCCAAACTGGAGTGTCGGGGAAAAACCTCCATATATAAAAGACAGAATTACTAAATGATCCGCACAGATGGGTTAACAAACATACTTCCTGTACTACCATCCCCTGGTCACTTCGCATTTGAGAGTCTCACAAATCCACAAGGCCCACCAACCCTTGCCCTCCTTGAGGGCTGGTTCACAGGCGTGTGCGTCGCCACGCTCTTACCCATCACCTTTACCTCCTCGCTGTGTGTGTGCAGGAAGGAGAGCCAGCTGCTGCGGCTGAGACCAAAGAGGAGGCACCGGATGCTGTGGAGGAAAAAAAATCCCCGGGAGAAGATGCCAAGCAGAGTTCCCCACCGGAGGCATGAACCATAAAACTCACGTGTAGAGTACACACAACCGCAGCAACAAGGCAATGCAGGATTGTCTCTATAGGAGGAGCGAAGGGTTACATAATTGTGCATGACAGATGGCTATGATTAGTTTATAGCATGAAAGCTGGAGTTTTCTTTGCCATTTGACGACGTTGGTTGGCCGTCATGTGTTAGGTTCTTCGCAAGCAAGCGTGGTGGTGTAAGAAACTATTACAATCTTACCCAAAAAAGTATTATAAATCACAATCTTGGTCACCAAAGTCTTCCTGTTTAAATTTAAGAATCTATCATTCTTCATTTTTCTATGTTATTGCTCTCTAAATTCTCAATTTAACAGAACGTAAAAAATGAATAATTTGTGAACACACGAGTAACCTCAAATAATGACAATTGGGTTACAGAGACGAGTGAATCGTTACATCCACACTGGATATATAAGCCGTGTGAGTGTCACACGCTTGCGTGTGTGGCAGATGGCACAGTTGGTGCGTCTGCCAATCGTTTCCGTCAACCCATGGCACTTGGGTCTGTCCCTTGACCTACCAGCGGGCGTTCGGCACTTCACGTGACCTTAAAGTGCACATAGCCTGGCACAAGCGCCGTGGTGACGTCACCGCCATTTTGTGGCGAATGACAGTTGGTGTTGAACCCAGGTGCTAGAGAATCTGTTGGGGTTGAACCCAGGTGCTAGAGAATCTGTTGGTGTTGAACCCAGGTGCTAGAGAATCTGTTGGTGTTGAACCCAGGTGCTAGAGAATCTGTTGGTGTTGAACCCAGGTGCTAGAGAATCTGTTGGTGTTGAACCCAGGTGCTAGAGAATCTGTTGGTGTTGAACCCAGGTGCTAGAGAATCTGTTGGTGTTGAACCCAGGTGCTAGAGAATCTGTTGGTGTTGAACCCAGGTGCTAGAGAATCTGTTGGTGTTGAACCCAGGTGCTAGAGAATCTGTTGGTGTTGAACCCAGGTGCTAGAGAATCTGTTGGTGTTGAACCCAGGTGCTAGAGAAGCTGCTCATCGCTGAACGTCTCATTCTTTAAAAGGAAACGAGGAGACGTAAGTGTTCCCGAGGGTCTGAAGAGGACGAGGATGAGGGAATAGAGGAGGAGGAGGACGGGATGAGCTCTTCTGAATCTGAGGCAGAACAAACCGCTCCCCCCATGAAAGAGGAACCCTCAGACAGCACGCCTCCCGGTGAGTGGGTGAGAAGTGGGCCACGCACTCGTCTCGTTTTTCCCTTGGGTGTGATGTTCAATTGCCCTTCTGCCTTGCGTTTTTTCATTGCGACTCGCTGTTTCCGAGTTTCAGATGAAGAAAAATCCAAGGAGGAGAGTGTGGAACCGGAATCGGAGAAAAGCGTCAAGCAGGAGCGGGAAGAGAGCAAAGAAGAGTGTTCTGAGAAGCCTGAGGAAGTGCCCAAGGAAGAAACAACGAAGGGACCTGAAGAAGAGCCCATGGAGGAATCCACGGAGGAATTGAAAAAAGAATCCAATGATGAACCCAAGGAGAAATCCAAAGAAGATCCCAAGGAGGAATCCAAGGAGGAATTGAAAGCGGAATCTAAGGATGGACTCAAGGAGGAATCCAAGGAGGAATTGAAAGCGGAATCTAAGGATGGACTCAAGGAGGAATCCAAGGAGGAATTGAAAGCGGAATCTAAGGATGGACTCAAGGAGGAATCCAAGGAGGAATTGAAAGTGGAATCTAAGGATGGACTCAAGGAGGAATCCAAAGAAGATCCCAAGGAGGAATTGAAAGAGGAATCCAAGGGTGAATCCAAGGAGGAATCCAAGACCGCGGGGGAGAAGCCTGCAGAAGCGAAGGTGGACTTTGTGCTGAAGAGGACTCCAGAGCAAGGGCTCCTGCCGAGGCCACGGAACTTCCACCGAAACATGTCCATCTTCCTGCGGAACATCGCGCCGTACATCTCCAAGGCAGAGATTGTGTCGGTGCGTGTGGGTAGCGTCTGGACCGGTGGGGGGAACGCACTTAGTCACTCCCAGTCTCTCTCGCTCGTACCCGTCGCTCGCGATCCTCGTCATCACCACCCTGCCTACCCGCATTGCCGCGTTTCACCTTGCCCTTGCCTCTGCTAAGTACAGACCTGGCCTCAATTACTATCGCAGTGGTGTCATTTGTAATGAATTGCAGTCACACTGTGATTGTAATATCAGCTAACAGTCTAACCTGGAATTGTAATTCTAATTGACTGCATGTCTGCTGCCAACACTGCTAAAGTAACACCATTAACACAGCCTTAGCTCTCCTCTACTGTAAATGTATGAATTTCACTCTAAACCTCCATGTCACTGTTAGAAGACCAGTCACTCGAATGATGTAGGTCTTTCTCTCTGAAAATTTGCCTGTTTTTTATTTATACTTCACAATCAATTTGAGTGACATAGCTTGCTGTGGTCATCTCAACAATCGTCGCCCGTCGAAAAACATTACCCTAAACATCAATGTGGGATTTTGTTTGTAAACCGGATCTTTGCTGCCGCAGTTTAATTGAGGAATAAAATAACAAAACATTTTTGAGAAGAGAATGCAGACAGAAACTACTCGTGCTGCTCCCAAATCTCTCACCGTCGGTCGTGGGAGGGAGCTGGCGGGTGCTGCCTGTGTGTGGGCGTGCGTGACTAAAGCGGGGAGTAACTGTTCGTACGTCATCCGCGTGTGCGTGTGCGTGTGCGCGCGCACGTGCAGCTGTGTCGCAGGTTCCCAGGCTTCATGCGAGTGGCGTTGTCGGAGCCTCAGCCAGAGCGCGGGTAAAAACCCTCCGTTCGATTGCACTCGCTCACAATCGCCGTGTGAGAAGCGCCAATGTCCTTGAGGTATCGCTACGCCTTTTGACATTAATTGCATTTATTCGATGTAAACTTGCTTTTATTTCATAGCTCAGCTTTTACAAACAGTGCTACGATTTATAGTTCGGTTTTGCTTATGGGGGAGTTGGATCGTGTAGGTATAATGTCAATTAGAGTTAAAGCCAATATATACCGGTTTCCGGAAAAAAACTCAATCAGTTTGGCACATTTTCCTTGGGTGAAAACTTTATTTGATTGGGTGGTGGAGGGTGCATTACAATCAAACTCAACAAAAAAAAACTTGTTATGAATTAACTACTATCACCATCACCACCTCTTAAAGCATCACCAGTACCACATTCACTGGTACAACCACCGCAATTGCTGACACAGCCCACAATTATAACCAATGCCTTTGCTTCTCTACAGCTATTGGTACCAAGCGTCTGACGATGCAATCATTGATTTATCGATGAAAATTGGCTTCTTACGTTCGTGACACACGCTTGTGATCATCACGTGTGAGAGTCGATTATCTACATTTTATACAAATTAGGTACACATTGCATGCTCGTGGTACATTTAGGCTAATGGTGCAAAATAAAACTACAAACGATAGCAACAAAAACTTCGGGAATAGAAAATGAGACGGTAAAAATGTAGGCAAATAATTAATTATTTAGGGTACTGTTAAAGACCTAACCCAGAATTGTGACAACTCATCAAATCCCTGGTTGATGGGAGGGGTGGGGGGAAGGGAGCTTTTCGGTTAATTATATTTCCAACTAGCAATCACCATCACCACAACCCCTGCCTCGCTCCGGTATAAATTACCAGGGATGTACACGACTTTGCCCACTGGATTGGAGTACATTGCTTGCAGCAAGCGGTTAGCCGTGAGCGCGAATCTTACCCTTTTTTGTGCTTCGTGAGGCTGCAACTGCCCTCTGTGCTGAAATGACTCGTACTTCTCATGACCGGCTGAAAAAAGGCGTAATTCGCCAGACCGGGAACGATTTGGCAGGTGCGCAGGTGTAAATGAATGGCAAGGCGCCTGAAGTTACCGGCATTCAAGCCTACTGTCGCACTTAATCAGGGGCGTCAAACATTCAGCAGCACGTGGGTGTGTTTGTTTTAAAATGCAATCCGGCCGACATGAAGTGTCTGTAAAACATCGAAACCAATCTCTTAATTGGTCATGTGTTTGCTCATCAGGTTTTATCGGCGTGGTTGGGTAACGTTCAGCGGTCATGTCAATATACAGGACATCTGCTGGAACCTGCAAAATGTGAAGGTGAGAATGTACATGTCATGATGACACAATTCCATTTTAAATTATGAGCACGACTGCCATACTCAAGAATATAATAGTTTGCTTGTAGCAAGAGACCCAAGCATAACAAACATCCCTACGGATTTGTTCACAACCCATTTGCTGAACTTGCGAGATCCTGGCCTCATCACGACCCAGCCGGTTTGAGAATGTCAGCCCTCAAAGTGAGCCCCACGGGGACCTGCCTACGTACACCTTCATCCTACGCCTGCCCCCGCTTAAACGACCTTTAATAATTTAGTCTTCAACTCGTGCGTTCCAGCACCTTATCGGAATCTTTCATCGCAACTTGTAATTCCTGCCCCCCCCCCGTTCCCATCTTCCCCGTTCTGTCCACAGCTGCGGGAGTGCGAGCTGAGCCCCGTGGTGAACCGCGACCTGGCGCGGCGCATGCGCATCGTGAGCGGCGTGTCGCTGCACGCGACTGTCGCACGCAACCACCTGCGCCTGGCCCTAAAGCTGGTGCACGCCCTGGACAGGCGCGCCAAGCTGTGGGAGTACACCGAGGGCACGACCATCCCGGTGAGCGCCGGCACGAACAGAGGTCGCACCGTGCTCCGGTCCCCGGATATGCCCCCTGTAATGCGCGGCAGAGACAGGGGAACTTATTCTTGCCGGGGAGCTAAATAGAACTTTTGGGGGGGGGGGGAGGGGGGTGTGGCACACATTAACGCGTTATCTTAATTGTATTGTCAAAACGCATTTGTGTCAGCCGCCAAGAATAAAGAAGCCGTTGCGGTGGCTTGACTTGAGCAGCGTGATAAATTATGAACAGTGTTGTTGCCCGGTCATTGAATGTGTTCTTCTGCAGCAGACTATCAGTGCAGCTAATCAGATGTATGTATGTTGAACTTATTTCGTACCGTACATCGCCAACCGTGCTAGCCGGAGGTGCGAGGGAAGGACAACAAAAAAGCAGTTTATGGAAAGATGCTTGCACTGACTTGCGCATCGATGTTGTTTGCCGGTCGTCTCCACGTGGTGTTCCTCTTGTGGTCGCTTACTTTTTGAAGATCAGGAGCGATGTAATCGGCAAGTAATCAATATGTCAAAAAGCAGGTGTTATTTTCTTTAAGCGACGCATGCTTCAGTATCAGCGGGTCGTTGACCGAGAAGCATGAAATCACGACAAGACTCGTTGGTGCGCGCGGCCGTGCGAGAGGCGCCGTATGGAGCGCGGTGTTGTGTGGTGTCCAGGGTACCAGCGACGGCGCTAACCCGCTGTTGGGAGGCCTGTCCAAGTACCTGGAGGATGGAAAGGTGAACGTGGACGAAGATGCTGCCAAGAAGGAGCAGGAGGCCGCGGTGGACCAAACCGCACCGGCGCCTGCACCGGCACCTACACCGCTGCCGCCACCACCTCCGAACAAGGAATTCTTCCTTGAGAAAAACGAGGATCTGCTCAAGGTGAACTTGCCTCTCGCAGGCATGGGGGGCGGGCTCTCTTCTCTTTCGAAAAAGTTTCTAAACCAGTGGGATAGTGTACATGGTAAGAGGTAATTGTGCTGCCTTGTAATTATTTACTTGTGGCACTGCTGACGGGATGGCCTCTACTAGAGGGAGCGCTATCAAAAAACAATCATTATGAATATAGTATTTAATGGCTTATTCTTCATGCAAGCCAGTCATCTCATTTTTATGTTTTTATATGCGTCCTGATTTTACGGGTAGGACTACATTTAACTTATACTGTAAAGTATTGAGATGCCCTCTTTAGTGGGGGCGAGTTTTTGCTCAGAAAATAAATTGAATGAATGAATCTTAGAAGAGGTGGGACTACCTACAACTCTACCCCACCACATACGGAACTGGTGCTCAACTTTAATGTGTTGCCTAATAATGCTGCGGGGAGGGTGACTATGGGAAACTTGCACCATAGTTTCAACTTCCACACTGGGAGATGGACCCGAACCGGATGGTCCAGTGCTCTCACTGTTTACACAAATGGTAGTATCCCCTCGTCTTGATGAAGCTGATAAGTATGTATGTTGAACTTTGGCAGTGCCTGATGAAAACCCATGTCTATGAGGGAATAACATTTCAACTCCGCATACAGGGCTTCAACCTATTTGCCGCTCTGCCTGCACGTTGAACTTATTTCGTACCATATTCTTTGGGTCTTTCGGTAAGTCCCATAGATAGTTATACTCTTTGGTTTTTTTCGGTAAAGTCACGTAGGTAACATAAAATGAAAACAACTAAATTAAATCACGACGTTTCGGAGGCAACACAAGCTTCCGTCTTCAGGTGGAACAGTCACAGTAAGAATAGCTGTACCAAGTGGGGAGCTCTTGAGACGACCGGGATTATATATACAGGTTAAGAGGGGGGGGGGGGGGGGGGAGGAGCCAGAAAGGGACGTGGGTGGGGGGGAGGGCTGAGTTAAGCCGCCTTTTATTATGCTGCAGGGGGTTCGGGGGAAGAGATGCAGGAGTACATACAACCCACTGAGAGCAATGTAAATGGCTGTACAATTATAAAGCAGCTAAAGTTTGACTTGGTTCATAACATCTTTCCAATGGTTGCTCAATTTAAATCGGTTGAAGTTGTGTATGTTTGTATGTCTGGATGGCTTCATGGACAAATCTTTGGTAATAACCGGGAGGTTTGCAGAGCACTTTAGTATCGGAGAAAACAATGTCATGAGAACCCGCTGTGTTGAAACAATGATCAGCCACGGCCGAAGAATTCGTTCTGCCGTGTTTCAAATCTGATTTGTGCTCGCGAATTCGGTCAGAAATATGTAGTTTTGTCTCCCCGATATAGCAGTCACCATAGGTACAACTCAATTTGTAAACACCGGGGTACTGTAAGTCAGGAATGACATCCTTTACGGATGGGATCAGATCATAGATTTTGTGTACTGTATTGAACCGGACCTGGATCTTGTGTTTGTTCAAAGAAAAGAACAAAAACTACTGAAAGACCCAAGGATTATGAATTATTTCGTACCGTACGTAGCCAACCGTCCTAATTGGAGGTGCGGGGCAAGGACAATAAACTAAAAACACAAAAAAGCAGTTCTAAAGAAATTAGTTTTAATATAGATTTAAAAGTGCATTGTTCCAGTGGCTTCCTAATATCGGAAAGAAGAGGCGTTCCAGATGGCTGCAGAAGTGCATCTGAAAGCGCGCACGATGCGGATCGATATCATGTTTGTCATCCTTCCCTGACGCCTCCGATTAGCACGGTTGGCTATGTGCAGTGCGAAAGAAGTTCATACATGCATACATACATTATCATGGTTATTCTAAGCAACATCATTAAAATTTTGATTTAAAGCTTTCGTGACTGCAGGGATTCATATTCTTGGTTCTTTCGGTAAAGTCACGTAGAAGAGAAACAATAAAATAATAAAAATATGAAACAATAAAATTCTCACGACGTTTCGACTGCAACACAAGAAATCATCAGGTGTGGTTTTCACACCTGATGATGATTGCTTGTGTTGCAGTCGAAATGTCGTGAGAATTGTTTTGTTTTATTATTTTATTGTTTCCCTTCTACGTGACTTTACCGAAAGAACCAAGAATATAATATCATTAAAAGTTCTCTATTTAAAGATTGTGACGCAAGAATCTCATTTCGCTTTTTTTTTGCATCCTTGTGATTAAATTCTGATGCGAGTCCAACATACCTACATACGTGTGTGTGTGTCCCGCACCGTCTCCCCCGGCCTGCCCACCCGCGCAGATGCTGGACCAGCTGCTGTTCTACCTGCGCATCGTGCACTCGGTGGACTTCTACAACCACACGGAGTACCCGCACGAGGACGAGATGCCCAACCGCTGCGGCATGGTGCACGTGCGCGGTCCCCAGCCCTGCAAGCTCAACCCCAATGAAGGTGCTCATCCATGATAGCGTCACGGCATCAACATCGGCGGCACGCTCGCACACCTTGTGTGAGGGGGCAGGGGGTGGATAGGCGGGGGGGGGGGCGTCGCTGGGGTTTGTTATCTCGGTTCCGCTTGACTCGCGCACGCCTACACACGGGCGGCACCCGCCATTACCCGCGACTCGCGGAGAGTTGGGAGCAGCACTCCAGTAGGGGGATGCCATGGTGGCCAGATGTTAACTACCTTGCCTGCTATACAGGAAGTTGTGGATTTAATCTCGACCCTGACGCCTGCTGTATATTTGTAGTTTGCGTGTCTCTCCCCGTGGTCGCGTGGATTTTTCTCCGGGTCCTCTGGTTTTTCCCTCCACATTTAAATTAACGTGTATTTAGAGTATTTGCCTGCTATAAATTTCCACATGATAAGCCACTTCATTGAGCTATCATTTGTGGCCAGGTCACTCTGAAAAAGAGCTGTATAGCTCAGTGGGTTTTACGTGGTAAAATAAAAACGGTTGAGTTTTGTAGTTTACGAGCGGGAAGTACCCGGCGTTGCCCGGGCGAAAAATATATTTCAAAACTTATCTTAAAAACATTACATATACATACACAGATACGAAGCTATTGTGAAAGCCCGGTGGACCGTTTGTCCATTTGTCCACCAACAAAATTATAAGAAGCTTGCAGAAGTCCAAAAAGTTATAGAAAGTGGGAGGTAAATTGTTGGTCTAAAAGGTTTCCGAAAATTGTTGACCCCTCCCCTCTAAAAAAATATTTTAACCCCCGCGTAGGTATATATACCTACATACAATAGCGTAAGTTGTATCTATTGACTCTGTAGTTGTATCTACTGACCGTAGTAGTATCTACTGGCCCTACAGTAGAATATACTGACTCTATAGTAGTAACTACTAATTCTATAGTAGTATCTGCTGACTCTATAGTAGTATCCACTGACAATAGTAGTAACTACTAACTCTAGCAGTATTTACTGACTATATTAGTATCCACTGACTATCGTATCCACTGACTCTATAGTATCCACTGACTATAGTAGTATCTACTGACTATAGTAGTAACTACTAACTCTACAGCAGTATCTACTGACTCTTTAGTAGTATCTACTAAATCTATAGTAGTATTTACCAATTCTATAACAGTATTTACTATCACTACAGCAGTGTATACTGACTGTGGTGGTACCTGCTCTCACTACAGCAGTGCATACTGACTGGTGCTACATGCTGACTCTATAGCAGTATATATCGACTCTAAAGCACAAAGTACTCACCTGACAGTGCCGTCGTGAGGCCTAGTCTCGTACAGAGCCCCCGTCCTCGCCTAGATTGCCTAGCCGGCCGAGGTGGCACCTTGGCAGGCTGGGGGCTGGGCCGCTACCCTTGCCCTCCCCCACCATCCCCCGGCCACTCTACAATAATAGTATCTAGGCGCTATAATAGTAGTAAGTGCACACATTGGGGTGGGGGGGGGGGAGAAGAGGACATGACACTTTGAAGAATTTACCTCAGGGTTGTGTTTTTTCATGCATTTTTAACGCGAAAGATACATTTTTCCCCCCCTCCCAACGAAGGCGTGTACGTTGCTGGGGGCAACCCCCGGTCAGCTTTGACGCACGTTTGCAAATGCAAGCAGCGGCATGAGGAAATAAGTAAATAATAAATCGCACTAAATTATTAATTTAACTACTTGAAAGTTGATGGATGGGGAGAATGGAATAGCGCTGGCTCACCACGGGGCTTATGGCACGGTACTTTTTTTACCCGTAAACCCCACGGTTTGCGAGCCAAAACCTCCGCAAGTTGCGTCCACACACAGACACAGAGACAAAAAGTTACGTTTATAGGTAAGATACGCATTGGCAGTCTCTGCTATAGAGAGTAAAAATAAGAGAGCAGAATCTTTGGACACTGCAAGTGATGTGGCCGTCATCTCTCTATCTCCAGTCTCTGCACCTTAGAGTAGCAGTGTTATGTGTACGTTCATTGCCTGTGTGTGCAGTTGTCCAATTTATTTAGTCTACTTTATTTTGTTGTGTTTCGGCCCAGTGAACACTCGCTTGGTCATGTGACCTGTTAGGCTTTTGCCAATCCACTGCTGAATGAAAGCCTTCCCATGCCTTGTCTGTCATCATTACGGGTTGTTTGACCATACTTCACTTTGGTCAGCGTAGGCTGATGAATGGGATTCTTAGTATATTACTCGCCGCTGATTTTAGGCGTGGCCAGAAATGGAAGTCGGGTCGCCGGCTTCATGGCACAGCTGCGCGAACCACCACGCCGCCGCTCCAGCCCGGATAAACAGTCCACATTAATGACATTGTTATTGTCAACCACATCACCGACAACTCTACGATCGTTCAACACAGCGGTGTCTTAACCCCCGACCCCCCCCCCCCCCCCCTCTGACGTAATTCCTTTCTCTCCTTGTCCGCGCGTTCCCCAGTGGCGGAATTTGAGCGTCAGTTTGAGACCAAGCTGCGGCCGCTCTTCCTCCAGCGGGACACGCTGGATGACGAGGAAGCCGAGGTCATGGGTCGCAGGGACCCCGAGCAGGAGGTGGAGAAGTTCATCTCGGCCAACTGCCAGGAGCAGGCCAAGGACAAGTGGCATTGTCCCCTGAGCGGGAAGAAGTTCCAGGTGCGTTTGGCGAGCACCACCGGGCTGCCGAGCGGCGGTCGCGTGAATGACGCCGCACCACGCGTGCACGCGGAGAGCGCTTTCCGTGTTGCCCAGAAGTAATGGCCACCACGCACTGCACACTTTTGTCACTCAAGCCTGGTTGCACGCACCCACGCGTGTCGCGCCGCTCGATTGCCTGCAGCTGAATCGCTTGTATGAGGACTTCTCTGCAAGCTGTTCCGAGCAGTTGCGCAACTGGTTGCTTCGATACAGACTTGTTTTTTGTCGATTAGCTCGGCGATTTGTAGCGGACGTATTACATTGCGTGTTGGAAATTTGCGAGCTATTGTTTTTGCAATGCTGAATGCGCCATTGAATTTCCTTGTTGTGCAAAGACTCTCTTAGATGTGGACAAAACTGCAGGCAATGTTAAATGTTGCAAAATTTTTTAGAGCAAATTGGTTGTGCGACTGATTTGCCCCCCAGCTGTGAGCCCGGCTTAGGGGCACTGCGCACAGTGTTGCACCCTCTTTAAGATGATTTGAGGACTCGTCTCTCGCAGTCCCAGGTCACGATTCGATTCCCTCGCGTCGAATCCATACTGGTGATCGCTGTGCACGTATAGAAACCACAGTTGCTGCAAGGAATTAATCGACCTGCAGGGTGTCCACAAACTAATCCGAACGAGATTGAAAACTCATTTCTTTAGAACTACTTTTTGTGTTTAGTCTGTTTTCCTTCCCCCACACCTCCGATTAGCGTGGTTGGCGACATACTGTGCGAAAGGACTTCAACATACATACATACATAATCACATGTGTTCCCTAGGAATGAAAAATGACGAATTCCAGCGCGCATGATGCAACGTGCACATTGTGACCGTCAGAATCTGTTTTAAATGATGGATCGTTATATGTGCCTAATTGTCATCTTTGTAATTGAAAGCACTCGTAATTGGAATGCCATCGCTAGCTGGTTGGTTAACAGGTGGGTGTTTGTGTTCACGTTATGGCCTTTTTACTGCCCTATACGCCTGAGAAACATTGCCATTTAGTATCGCCTCCGTGACCGCCCCTCGGCCGTTGTAGAAGTTTTCTGGAGATGTTAGAGCAGTCTCGCCCCTTGAAACACTTCGACCTCACTGCAGACATTTCTCAAGGATGCTGTCACTAGCCAGTAAAAGTCAAGTGGGGGGGAGTCGTTTGATTTTATTTGTCAAGTGCAATTGAGGTATGTAACCGACCAATGTCGTATAATTGCAAATTACTTCCCCTGTCCTGAACTGGCATCGGCTTATTCATTTACAGATATTACTTGGAAAGTTTGTGCCTTCCTTGGCTCAAACGCCCTCCATCCCGTTCCACTGTCAACTCCTCGAAACGCCACGCTTGTCATTAGACCGGCCCTTACAACAATTGTTTAAGGGTGCTTCATGAATGTCAATTATTATATCAGATGGTGATGATCTCGCGCAGCGCTGTCTAAATAGGCAAAACACCGCCCTCGTGCATCTATCCACTCTGTGACAAATATTTTTTTTTTACACATCCCATCAGCCCACACGGCCCTACCGAGAATGCACAACCTCACCCAAAGCGTAGCCAGGCCTGCACGGACCAACGCTGGCTACCCGTCAGATGCCCGTAGATGGGGAGGCCCCCTCTCCGTGAAGAATGTCTCCTAGTTCGACGCCGCCTTAGACGAGCAAACGACGAGCGTGACGCGTTTAAAGCCGCGGCGAGACGCGCCCGGCCGACGCGCTTGACATGGCGGCGTGGTCCTGCGTGCTGCGCGTCCAGAGCCCCGAGTATGTGCGGAAGCACATCATGAACAAGCATCTGGACAAGGTGGAGGAGGTGCGCAAGGAGGTGGGCTTCTTCAACAACTTCCTCATGGACAAGCGGCGGCCGCACCTCATGGAGCCACGCTTCGCCATGTGCAACATGATGCCCGGTATGTACGATCGTGTGTACGTTGGAACTCCTTTCACACCGTACTTCGCCAACCATGCTGGTCGGAGGTGCGGGGGAAGGACAACAAACCAAACGCAAAAAGCAATCTTCAATCTAGATTCAGAAAGTGCATAGCTCCAGTGGCTTCATAAGATTGGAAGTTACACGCCGAATTCGGTTCGCTCGCTCGCTCCCACTCGCTCGCGCTTCGCCACTTGGATGGATAGGACACCGCACTCCCGGGCTGGTGGCACACGTCTTTGATCCAGCGCTTGGGGAGGCACCGAGGATTGGTGGGTCGCAGCACAAATGCGCGAAACTCCCTTTCCTACCAGTGAGCGTCGCGGTCACCGTTGGCACGGTTGGTTACGCACGGTGCGAAAGAAGTTTGCGCCTACGTACGTACAAGGGGAGAGCAGTGCAGCAAGTCGATTGATTTTTAGTTCAGCACGTAGCCTTTGGTGACCAATATCCATAATAAAGTGGTGCTTTTGAGATTAGATGGCATAAATATGCATTTGTCGATTCTGGCAAATCGCCTGATGAAGCTGGTAATCAGGCAAACGTCGTACTCATTGTCAATGTTGTGGGTTTACTCTCCAACACATCGGTGTGCTGAAGTAACTAATAGGCACGTTTTGTTTACATGACAAAACTTACTAATTGGCTGTTTCGGATGGTGGCGAGTCTAACGACACATCTATAATTGATGTGATTTAACCAAAACAAAACCTTTATTATGAATTGACTTTCATTTGAGTGTTACTCCCCCACCCCTCCCATCCTGGCACACGTGGGTTTCCCTCCGGGAACTCCGGCTTCCACGTATATAAACGCTCGTTAATGGAGTTGGCCAAACATCCCCATGTAATACCCACAAAACTTGGGCAGTCATTGGCACCGCACACAAATCACACGAGGCGCAGCCACACACAACACACACGCGCATGTGTCCACGCACTCTGGTGATTACGATTACGCTCGTTTACCCAAGAGGGCCTCGCTGAGTCTAAAGACTCGCAGGAGGGTCCTACCAAGTGTTCACAGTAGGGGGCGATGTTGCTGTGTGTGTGTGTACGTACATGTTGAACTTCTTTTGCACCGTATGTGGCAAACCGTGGTAATCGGAGGTACGGGGAAGGACGACAAACTAAACACAGAAAGAAGTTCTAAAGAAATTGGATTTCAGTCTAGATTAAAAAGTGGCTTCCTAAAATCCTAATTAAGTAATTGCAATCAAATGTTTCATCATTGCGTGTCTTTTTTATATATACAGTGAGGGGAAAAAAGTATTTGATCCCCTGCTGATTTTGTACGTTTGCCCACTGACAAAGAAATTATCAGTCTGTGATTTTAATGGTAGGTTTATTTGAACAGTGAGAGACAGAATAATAACAAAAAATCCCGAAAAACGCATGTCACAAATGTTATAAATTGGTTTGCATTTTAATGAGGGACATAAGTATTTGACCCCCTCTCAATCAGAAAGATTTCTGGCTCCCAGGTGTCTTTTATACAGATAACGAGCTGAGATTAGGAGCACACTCATAAAGGGAGTGCTCCTAATCTCAGCTTGTGACCTGTATAAAAGACACCTGTCCACAGAAGCAATCAATCAATCAGATTCCAAACTCCCCACCATGGCCAAGACCAAATAGCTCTCCAAGGATGTTAGGGACAAGATTGTAGACCTACACAAGGCTGGAATGGGCTACAAGACCATTGCCAAGCAGTTTGGTGAGAAGGTGACAACAGTTGGTGCGATTATTCGCAAATGGAAGAAACACAAAAGAACTGTCAATCTCCCTCGGCCTGGGGCTCCATGCAAGATCTCACCTCGTGGAGTTGCAATGATGAGAACGGTGAGGAATCAGCCCAGAACTACACGGGAGGATCTTGTCAATGATCTCAAGGCAGCTGGGACCATAGTCACCAAGAAAACAATTGGTAACACACTACGCCATGAAGGACTGAAATCCTGCAGTGCCCGCAAGGTCCCCCTGCTCAAGAAAGCACATATACATGCCCGTCTGAAGTTTGCCAATGCACATCTGAATGATTCAGAGGACAACTGGGTGAAAGTGTTGTGGTCAGATGAGACCAAAATGGAGCTCTTTGGCATCAACTCAACTCGCCGTGTTTGGAGGAGGGCTGCTGCCTATGACCCCAAGAACACCATCCCCATCGTCAAACATGGAGGTGTAAACATTATGCTTTGGGGGTGTTTTTCTGCTAAGGGGACAGGACAACTTCACCGCATCAAAGGGACGATGGATGGGGCCATGTACCGTCAAATCTTGGGTGAGAACCTCCTTCCCTCAGCCAGGGCATTGAAAATGGGTCGTGGATGGGTATTCCAGCATGACAATGACCCAAAACACACGGCCAAGGCAACAAAGGAGTGGCTCAAGAAGAAGCACATTAAGGTCCTGGAGTGGCCTAGCCAGTCTCCAGACCTTCATCCCATAGAAAATCTGTGGAGGGAGCTGAAGGTTCGAGTTGCCAAACGTCAGCCTCGAAACCTTAATGACTTGAAGAAGATCTGCAAAGAGGAGTGGGACAAAATCCCTCCTGAGATGTGTGAAAACCTGGTGGCCAACTACAAGAAACGTCTGACCTCTGTGATTGCCAACAAGGGTTTTGCCACCAAGTACTAAGTCATGTTTTGCAGAGGGATCAAATACTTATTTCTCTCACTAAAATGCAAATCAATTCATAACATTTTTGACATGCGTTTTTCTTGATTTTTTTTGTTGTTATTCTGTCTCACCGTTCAAATAGACCTACCATTAAAATTAGACTGATCATTTCTTTGTCAGTGGGCAAACGTACAAAATCAGCAGGGGATCAAATACTTTTTTCCCCTCACTGTATATACATATAGAATTACAATATATTATGACATAGAAGTTGTCATTCAGTTTACGAACAAAAAAACGATCACGTGTCTGTCTCCCAGGAATCTTCCCGAACCCCCAGGCTCTGATGCCCAGCTACAACTTCCAGCGTCTTCCCATGCCTGCGTACGGAGGTGAGTGTCAACGTCGTCCCAATTATTGCTGACATTTTAATTGTTACGCCCGGTAAATAAGACCATTAACCTGAATTATGCATCGAGCTCATTGTTTGAGCTTCCGCATCCACCAATGCCATCAAGATGAGTTGCACATTTGACACTACAAGCCATCTTACCAACCCATATATGAAGTTCATTACACGGCATGGGGGAGACCTTTCGTGCACCAGTGGACTGACAGAAATGCTTTTCCCTTGTGTAGTGTTCAAGCCAGCGTGGAGATATGGCCTTCTCGCAGTACAATGCTGGCTCTCTCCCTGTTATAACGAGAGTGTGCGTGCACGTGTGTGTCACGCAGGGTCCCCGTACCCACCACCGCAGCAGCAACAGCAGCAGCAGCCGCCTCCACAGTTTCCCCCTCGCGGGGGCTTCGACCCCTACCGGGGCCAGGGTTCCAGCCACTACATCAAGAGCAGGAGGTGCGAGAACCCACCGTGACACACCACAGCCCCCTGTCTTCACACACACACCAGAGAAGGGTGTGCAGGTGTATGTGTGTGTGTGTGGGGAGCAGGCGGCCGGGCATGGTGCTGCCCACCCACCCCCTCGTGTGCCTTGCCGGCCTTCATAGGTGCTACTCCCGAACAGCACTTGCCCCAACAGTCTGTTAAGGCTATACGGGGGATCTTTGTGTGGCGCAGTGGTGTGCATTGTGGTTAGCATTGCACTGCAGCCCGGCGACCAGAGTTCAAATCCTGATCATGGTTAACATAATTTGCGATTTATTTGAACCGGTCTAGGGCCTCAACTCAGCCTTCAATGAATATGGTGTGTTAAACATCGGCGCCTGAAATAAGCATGGAGGAGACAAAGGCGGCCGGGATCGATGCTGGCCACTGCCCACCCCCTCGTGCGTCTTGCCGGCCGTCATAGGTGCTGCTCGCTAACCAGCACCTGCCCCAACCATGTGTTCGATGGCTATGTGGTTGATTGTTGTGTCCTGTGTCTTCCCTGCAGGGATTTCCGCCCAATGATTCAGTACACGGATTTGGATGCCCCCGAAGAAAACGATTTCTTCTAAAGCTCCTGCGCATCACGAACGTAATCGGTTCACTACTACTATTGCTAACTATTAACTAATAGTATGAACTATTACTATAGTAATAGTTTATACTCATAGTATAGCATCAGACTATAACGTAATCTACTCCTATTACTAAATATTAATTATAGTATTAGTACTGTTACTATAGTTTATAGTATAGTCCATTGTCTACCACTATTACTAACTATTAACTATAGTACTAGTGAGTACTATTAACTATAGTACAAGGTAAGTACTATTTCTATAGTCATAGCATCACGGCCATGACGTAATCCGTTCATTCCCCATTGTCCATTACAGCGTCGTCGGCAGCTTGCCCTGTTGTGTTCGCCGTTTCTGCCGGCCACGTTCTATTCCAGTCAACCGTTTGTTGCGTGTGTTGAACATTAAAAAAATAAGCAATGCGTTCCTGGGGAGACCCTTGCCGACTGTAGGCGTTTTTTGTTGCTTCGGTTTTAGTTGACTTGAAGGGAAGAGTGGTTCTTGCTTTGCGGGCACACGGATTGACGTTGTCGAGTGAAGTGGCACACGCGTGTTTTTGTTGTCGTTGCTTGGCCCATCGTAAGATGGAAATGTAATTGTAAAACAATGCGTAGAATACTCAAGGCCGTTATATTTTTTTTTGCAGAGCAACGTAAAAAGTAAACAATTACAACCGCTATTGTTTTCTGTCGAGTTTTAATTGAAAGTTCACGTTTTGGTTGTTCGGGAGAAAGCAAACGTCTGTCGCGGTTTGGATATGAAAGTATTTTGCGGGCTGGGAAATGATGCAGCCCAAAGGAGGGGAAGATGCCCGAGAAGGTGTAGGGATCGGAGATGGAGTGAGGAAATCAGCTCGACTGTGAGATGATCGCCGTTTGGGGAGGCCTTCATCCAGCAGTGGATAGATGATGTGGGACTGGGACGCAGGATTGGTGGATTGCACTGAGATCCCTTGCCATACATCTGCATCGCACGCTTTCAGATGTGCTTCTGCGGCCATCTGGAACGCTCTTCTGATATTAGGAAGCCACTGGAGCTAGAATTTTTTAGTCTAAATTGAAAACTAATTTCTTTTTAACTGCTTTTTGTGTTTAGTTTGACCCTCCCGCACCTCCGATTAGCACGGTTGGCTATGTACGGTGTGAAAGAAGTTCAACATGCATACATCTACCTGCCATGGCAGACAGAGTAGCAAGTAGGTTGCCCTGTATGCGGAGTTGAAATGTTATTCCCTTGTCAACATGAGTTTTCAACAAGCATTCCCAACTTCCACGCAAAAAAAGTTAAAACTTATTATTGTACTTCATCACAGTATAGCTTAGTATTTTGCTGCTTGTAGATTTGTTTAAACGAAGGAAAGCATACAATTTGCATATTTGTCAGCCTCAGCAGCTGGAAAGCATGTGCTCTTGAGAAGAGGATCGGTGCCTGATTGATGCAAGCCACTCGGCACAGATTGACGACCAACTTTCAACTCTCGACTTGTTGAATCTACATTCTCCGTGCCCCCCCCCCCCGCTGCTCTCTTGTTTCCCAGCAGCTCACCCCTCTCCATCGCCAGCCCCACCACCAACCTTTTCCAACCGCAGCGTATCAATCTTTCCAATGAGTCGTTTGCCCCCCCCCCGTCGACCCCCCACACAATTTAATGCGACGATCAAAAGAAGTCCCTGGCTTTCTTTTGGCTGACAAATGGGCGATCCGCCGCCAATTAGCATTCCCTTCGGAAACCTTCGGCAGCTGTGTGGGGTTGCAGCTTCCCCGTGGCAAAGTGTGTGCTCTGTGCATCCTTGCCACCAACCACCACCGATGTAAGGAAACAGCTTTGCTTAACAAATAGCAGTCTGCTGTGCCTCTGGCTCCCAGCTGTTGGCCAGTTAAATGAATAACGGCAATATATTAAAAAATGTGTAATCTAGTGGCGATAGCGTGGGTGTGGGGGTTGGGGGAGCTTCATCCAGCAGTGGTTTGATTCACGGCTGACGATGGTGTCGTCTTACAAAACTGTTCATGGCTCTGTACCGTGCAGTTTTTTTTAATTAACTTTTGCAAAAGGACAATTAGGTGCTTTTGTTTACCCATTTTATCCCAGGAGGTCTTGCAGTAAAGAAATAAAAAAAATGCATTAAAATACTAAAGGCAGATTGTAGATCAATGTGTCATTATTGGAGTTCCAATACCGCATTCGCAAAGCCAGCCACGTGGGATGGGGGCACCATACACACAACGATGCAATGCCTGATCCACAAATATGGAGACATCGCAGCGATGATAGCTCCACTGCTCCTGACGCAATTATCTGGGCTTGGACCCATTGCGAAATTTACGTTGTTGCTTTGCATCTACATCAGCCGCCGTCCGAAAGAAGAAAAATAAGTTGGCAAGGCAGTGGTGAAAGAGCACTCGGGGCATGCACCCACGTTCACCTCTGGCTGCTGAGGTTGAAGGTGGCTGAGAGCCATGGGGACCACACCAGCCATTGAGGTCACAAAAGACCGGCAGGAGGCCCCCTCTGCTGGGACGTCACCGCGTGGTGCCTACCACGTGGCCTGGTGGTGGCTCTCGCTTGGACATGCAGGAAAGTGCTTGCATGACAAATCTCCGCTCCCAGGAGGGCCATGTGACACGCCCGGGCTGGAGTTGGGGGTGGGGGGTCTGGCTTGTGTTTCTCAAGTCATGCTCCGTGGGGGGGTGGGGGGTGAAGGAGGGCAGCGTTTTGTTTTCATTGCAATAAAGCGAATGTGGTGTGCCGCGCGCGTGAATGTGTTTTTGAGTGCTTACACGTTTTTTATTCAGTCTGACCGCGATTGACGCCGGTTTTGTTTGCACCCCCCTCGCCTCCGATCGCTGGGATGTGTGGATCAGGGCTATGGATGCTGGGCAAAGCGTGTGGTAAGTGCGCCAACTATGAAGAAAATTCGTGCACTGAGATGGGAAGAGGAGCGGATGGACTGGGGGACACGGTTACATAACAGACATTGACTTAAACGTCTGCTTGACGTGCGACATAAATAGAGTTGATGGTCAGTGGTGAAGACGGGTGATGGAATTGCAGGCAAAGAAGGGAATGACCACGACAAAAACGGAGCGTTTTGTGTTTCAGGGGTGAGATGGATTGTGGCATCGTAGCGTGTGCCCAGACCAGATCATACTCCACGTGTCGACATCGCCTGCAGTGTCGGTATCGCCTTTTGTAGTTCCAAATTCTGCATGTGGACAACGGTGAAATACGTGATAACCAGGGCGCCACGTGACTAGATGTTCACTCCCTTTCCTGGTATGCAGGAGGGACGTGGGTTCTACCCCGACTGACGCCTGTATACTGTATAAGGAGTTTGCATGTCTCCGTAGTCGCGTAGACTTTTTTTCTGGGTCCGGTTTTCCCCTCCCACATTTAGAATCAACAATCACGTTTCGAGTATATGGTTGCTAACATTCCACGTGATAAGCCACTTTGTTGAGCTATCGTTTGTGATACCCAGGTCGCTTCTGAAAAAAGCTACGTAGCTCAGTGGGCCTTCCCTGCTAAAATAATAATTGTTAGTTTGTGATCGTTTATTTTAAATGAGCGAGTGGGGGTAACGAAGAGTGAACTCGCAGTATCCGTCTAAATATATTGGTACTACCCAAATGAAGATTTGCTTCATTTGGGTGGTACTGATTTTTGCTCCGGCCAATGGACTCCGGCGATAGTCCGGGCAAATCATCCAACAGTGGATAGACCACGGCTTATGACGGTAAGGACATAACCACCTACACAGTTTGTTTTGCATTCGCGAAGAAACTGGAGTGTCTGCAGAAAACCAGCTTCAACACCAACCCTCTGCTGCACAATGATCGACAACACACGAGACTCGCTGCATTGCTCTTGAACAATACCATGTTGCTCTCTGCAGGTGAGTTGGAGCAACTAAACTTTACAATACTAACGGCAATATATTTCAGGTATTTTAATATCACATCACACCCGCCTGTATTCAACATAACATAGAACAGCAGAAGAGTGGCGTTCACAGCGTGAGAAATAAATGAAAATTGTAATTGATCCTGCCAAACTTGTATTAAGACTCGTTGCTTGTGGGGAGTATTCTGAAGAAATTAAAGATACAAACAGGATATTGTTCATCTCTACACACACAAAAAATAGCCTAGCATTGAGACTTTAATCACTTAAAGCAAATAATTTAAATATTTAAAGAAGAAATAAAAAAGTGTCACTTCGTGACCACATGAAGTAACTAATTCCCAGGTGACCCTGGGCTCATTCATACACCTTTGCATTGATACCTGTGCAGCCATTGTGTTGAGTTGTTCCCCCCTGCACCTCCGATTTGCACGGTTGGCTATGTACGGTGCGAAGGAAGTTCAACATACATCATGTGTTGATGGTGGCTGCAGTGAGACAAGATTAACACTACAAATAGAGGTTGAGGAATGAAGAAATAATTTCGGCAGCGCTTATTGTACCGCGTGCACCTCGTATAAGAAGAACTTGGATATCGAATGAAGCTGATATATCACTGACTGCGCAAACCTGTGTGTGAGTTATATCCTGAAATCCAAGCCGCTGGTGGAACCATCAACAGGCCCATGCGCCCTTCTTGATGAATGTAAAATTTAAGACGGCCCACAGTCGTGTGACCATTGCAGTCTGCGCTCATTCAACGAAGGGGGAGCAGCAAAACGACACGAACTCTCTCGCTCTCTCCTCAAGGCCTCTCGTTCGTAGCCACCAGCAAGATCTCGACGTTGGCATTTGGCTCCTGAGCATAGTGCTACCATCATTTCCAACAGAAGAATCGATACGGAAGGGCGCAGGCACCGTCTCAGCTCTCCCAGGGCTTCCCAGAAACACTTCCACCGATGGCCTCAGTGCAAGAAATGTCAACCGGTGAGACCACACCATTTTCAATGGGGTTAGGTGGAGAAAAACAATGTTCTTGTTATCATCCGCAACAACTGCATGGAGGCCTCATGTCTGTCGGGAATTGCTGTTGTTTCACCATACCTCACCAACGCTGGTCAGGGTCGTTTCATAATATCACTGCCCACTCATGTGAGTCACCGCTCCTGCCCTTGGGTTAAGTTAGGATATGGTAATTGATATCATATTGTTGGTATGCATAAACACTTATTCAATGGTTGAAAACATTTCTAATATACAGAGGACTGCAGAGCTTGGGAAATAAAACGTTGGAGCCAGTTGCCGCCTTCCAGCTGTTCCGTGGTTCTTCCGTGATCGTGAGATTCAGTTTGCATGCAGGACAATTAAACTAAACATGATTTGTTTTAACATATGACCATCATTGTTGATTTCATATAATTAAGAACAATGGAGGGGGGGGGTGGTCAAAAACAACATTGCGCTATTGTTTCTACTGGCACGCCGGCGGGAGACTCAATCCAACCGGTGACCTGCGGTGGATTGCAAGTCCAGAGCGCTCGGCAGACCCCGCCACGCCAACAGCCGCCTCCGGCATTGACCGAGAAGGCTGCTCGATTTGATAGTGCGGTGGACAAGTCTGGTTAACGAACGGAGTTGCGGTCATCCTTTTAATCGCGTCGAAATGTTGGAGCGCTAAAATGTTGTGGCCGCAAGCTTTTTTTTGCAGACAGGTTTCGTGGTTTTCTTTTTAGCCGCGTACTCCTCAGGACCCCGTCGACGAGGCTTCTTCTCGT